AATGTGGCTGATTCAACAGACAGTGCAGTTGACACGAATGCCTTCATCAGAAAAGCAGCATGTGAGAAGCTCGAAGAAAGTTTTTACTGAGGACTTTACCTTTTGGAGACAATTAAGCAATGCAAATCAAATCGATGTTCGATGACGAATAGTCGATAGAGAGATGTCGTAGAGATCGAGAACACTCGATATTTGTTGAGGATATTCTCTATGGCGGTCTTTGATCTAGAATTGTCAGGACCCTACTTGTTTTTGCATCAGCACTAGAAACGTCATGATACTCATAAAATATCTACAATAATAATAGCAAAAATGAATCAGTTTGGATTTTTTCAGTAAGCTGCACTAGTTCAACACCGAGTCTCCCTCGTTGATCCCGTGTCCCTAGGGCAACCCACTCACGTAAAATCTGCTTAAGTGGATTTTCTCTGCGAACAACTCCAGGTTTTTTGTTCACCGTCATTCTTTATTGTTGTCAGATTTTCCCAGTTGTGGCCAGATATCTATTGTATTTCAGAAGAACTTCATGAATTTCTCTCGCGCTTTGAACCGGTAGAGGTTATCTGGCCTGAATCAGAAAACCACAATGAAATGGAACTTGAAGGTTGTATTCAAATGCCTTCGTAATGCTGTCTCATTCCCAAATGCAAGCTTACCTCTAAGGTTTCTCCATGTTCGCTTCACCAAAGTTTCAGTACACGTATATGCGGTATTCGTCTCATCGAACTCAGTGCTGGGACTTATCGAAAAATGTGTTTCCATCCAGTGGTCGTCTCTCTGTTAATGTGCCTATTCATGGCAGTGGTTCAGTTATGGTCAGCTATTGCAACTACGTCACACCATAAATAGCCTCTTGCAGACTGTTCCAGAAGTTCTTCCGATTAATGTTCGTGTATGGGTAAGTATCGATGCGAAATTCTATTGTGGTAGTTGCCCCTATTCACCAACTATCTTGACCAAGAATACAGTATTTGTTGGCCGTCTTCCTCGAACTGTTACTGCTCGTGTTCTCATTCTTGTTTAAAAAAAGGTTAAAGCTCTCGGCACTGATCAATCCCTTAAGGATTTCCCGTGCATTCGACTTCATTAAGCATCGTTGGAGGCAACTGAACGCATATCTCGTCTTTACAATGACTCGTGATGGCCTAGCGATGTATCGAGCCAGTGCTGCTATCCCGCAGACAAGTCTCGTACCAATTTGCCGAGCCCGGAGGGATGGAAGGTTTGGTCGGCCATGGGCGCGGAAATCGATTTCACGTGCCCGTAGCAGTGGCGCCTCCAACCACTGCACCACACGCGCCGTGTCGTCATTAATATCGTTGAATTTTAGTCTATTTGCTCCCATCGCCTCGAATAGGGCATACTCACTCGGTGATGTCATTTTATGCAGAATGCTGATGGTTGATAGCTGTGATGGTTCGGTGATAGTGACTTGTTTTTCCCGGACTAAGGGCATCTCGGAGTGATTACGCCTTATTCGAAGAGATGGTCCGCTGAGGAAGACCTGACTCGACACGAACGCGAATCAGCCACATCCAGACGAATAAAAAGCGTGGGCCATCGACTCTGATCATCGGCTCTGATGAAAATGACGACGCCGAGCGTTAGCGGAAAGTAGATATATTTATCAACCTCGTGTAAGCTCATCAAAGAAAGAATACATATTGATTAGTCAAACCGAGGTTAAAGGAAAGTAGCATCATCATTATTATATTGCATCATGCGTGTTACGCTGATACTTCTGTTTTCGAGAGAAGTGCGTATAACCGGAATGTTCGCCTTTGATGCAGCGGCTATATTGCAACTAGTTGTTTATGTCTTTTGAAGCTGCTTTAACGTTCGACCACTAAAATATTGGGACAACGCTTGACTTCTGCTTATTATGACTCATTCACTGTGTACATCGTTGGCGATCGCATCGTATAGATACATGGATTGAATATTGGTGTGTTGACGTAACACAAGGCTGGTAGTCGGCTCTATAAGGAACACAAAACTCCATTCATGACTGGGATTCTTTGAGTGTTTTAGAGGAAAGTCCATATCCCACTCGTGAAGTTTTTCTAGATTTCACTGTTAAGTTAAAAATTTTTGAAAACCAAGGATAGTGAGCAAAGGTTTTCTTGGCGACACATTGATCCTCTCTTCAAATTTTTGACTAGTCCTATAAACTGTGGTCTCCCAGAGTTGCAAGGGCGAAGATTTCAGAAATTACTGTCGCGAATTCTCTACTTTCCAACTTCAAGACACCTCACATCGAATTCTTCTGAAGTTACATGGACGAACGTAACTTGTAAGTGACTAGTTCAGTTATCTCCAGCTCATTAGTAAGTATTCTTACATCCCAAACGTCTTACTTCATTTACTTCATTCGTATTACAGATTTATTGCAGTCAATTGTATTCCCTTGCCTTCACCATCACTGTTTAGAACTGCGGAAAACGACTAACTCATTCGCTTTTCTCAGTATCAATGAGAAGGCCTTAGCGAAATATGGCACCATACAAAAGCTAGAAATTATCCAAAGATATGAAAATCAACTATAACGATAGTGAGATATACGCAAAACTTGAACTCCGGGCCAGATCGAACCACGACTTCGTTTTCCGAGAGCTCGTGCGCCGCACACTGTGCCACGGAGGTCCTTGCTCTGCGTTTCACTCAGCTAGTTTTCTACCTGACACTGACATCAGCAATCACCCGTCAGCGAGGTAATCTGTTTAGAAATACAACTACAAGGATGCCGAAATATGAGCACAATTCGGAAGCTCAGTTTGGCTTCGAACCAGCGATTACCGTTTCAGGCCTCTCACGTCCCATCTACTACACCAACGAAGACCCTTAGACTGTCTTTCTCTCAGCCAGTTTCCCACTTTAATGGTGCTATCAGCAATCACCCGTTAACAGTAATGATCTGGGAGGAAAGCTGAAGCTGCAGTCAAAATCACAAGGTTTAACTAATATTTACTGCCTTATTTTCGAGGTGCAATCACCCGTCAGGTGTCAATGGGCTTCATCTGGGGAGCACCCACTTAAGCTGAGGCTGAAGTCGAAATCATAATGTTAACCTTTTTTTTATTTCGTACCTTCTATAACTTTTCGTAATAGTTGTGTTTAACCCTTTGCACGTAAAATGGGTTGCTCATGCTTATCTTTTTTAGTGAAACAGAGACAGAATGGAATACAAATTGTGGCATGTTCGACTCCTACGATCATCCTGGCCGTGTTAGTACTACTATTCATTCGCTGCTGAATATTAGTCAACCATGTCGTAACTCAAGAAATCCTCGTCCTACTGAACTTCCTCTTCGAAACACGCGTCATAAACAGTGAAATCAAGGCAACAACTTGTCTCATACAATACCCAACACGCCATCTAACAGGATCGCCTTCGCCAGTGATTCCTACACTTGGCATAACAACAACAACAACGTCTACAATTGTACTGATCACCATTGTAATAGAATCAACACAAGAGGAAGCGAAGATTCCTGTGTACCCGGTCATTCTGTTCTCAGCTGCTGACCCCACCAACAACAACTGTTTTACAGACAGCAGGTTATTACATGTCTCCATATAATGGTAAAGGGCTACCGTTCGTTAGTGATTCACAGCCCAAAATCTGTCAATGCGTGCAATGTCAGTCAATAGGGACTTGTTCGAACGTCATTCTCCCCGACAATACGTCGCCCAAATCGACGTTAACCTCAAAATCTTAGCAGTGCTACGAACGAAACGAGTGAGAATTCTGATATTATCACTTCCTTGCTATTGAAACTCCAGCTTATCTGATTCTCAAGCAGTTCTCTTTGTGTATTACCCATCTGTCCTGTACAAAGCCCTGTTAAGGATCTTTCATCCTATTTTTAATAATTACCTCCATTTATGCATTAATATTACTATGATGTAAACAGTGGAGCTATTGCCACATTGTTAAGTGATATTCACCCCTTGAACCCATCTTGGACACAGAGTAAATGTACAACATATGGTCATGGATGTGACTGTTTTGCTGATCCTACGTTAAATTCCCCTTTCCGGAAGTGGAAGAATATTCGTTGTCGTTGTTGCGATGTTTGTTTGGGTGTCACATCGGCTTTCTGCTATTGTCCCAACGGCAAATATTGCCACTTACGTTGCTTTGATCCTTAGTAACGTATCATCGCCTTATTGTTTATGATTTCATCCAACTGTGCCATGTATTTTTACTACGTCATTGCACAGTTTGCCCAGTTCCTACCTATATCGCCCAACGTTTAACCCACTGTCATGGAAAATGAATAGATCTTAATGCACACTACCGTACCAGTCTGAAGTCTTTTCAGTCGGTGCTCGAAGTACATCACTCTAAACATCCTACGATGGACAACTGAATTGAGAACGGTGTCTGGTCTAACACTGACGACTTTATATTCAATTCATCAAATGTCAACTCATCTACCTATTTTGAATCGGTATTCTTTTAGCGATTCCGCAGTTCTCAAACGGGTTTTCATGATGAAGTTTCCTTTTCAGGCGTCGAAATTAATGAACACCTTCAACAAGTCAAAATTTCACCAAAACTAATCTATCTAATCTTAAAAATCAATGCATTACAAATCATATTACATTCTCTATAAAACCTATAAAACGATCAATTCAGAGGTCTTTATGCTAAATTCTGTAACATACGTGGACCATTTTTGTTTGATTTCTAACTGCCGTAATAACACTTCTCGACAGCTGTCGCGAGCATCCACTAGAGAGTGCCCAGCGGATGGAACAAACATAAATATAGGTTTGGTCTCATACAACAAACAAACTTTGTCGAACAACACCTGCTTATCGGTGATCAAACTGTTAACATCGAATACTGCGTGAATAATCACCGTCGAAAAGCTCTACGATTCGACAACCTATCAAAACAATGTGGCAAAAAATGTACAGTTTCTGAACATTTGAAGATCAACCTAATAAGTGTTAACAGCTAGTGATAGTAGTAACAGTAACTATTGGTGGCATCAAGTGCTCTTGTACTTATCTATTCCAGCTGGGCTCATCACACATATATGATTTAGATCACGAAACTTTTGATTATAGTCCAATCCATAACCAACAATGAACTAAAATTTGATCTCATGGTCGAGATAAGATATGAAACTGAACAATGAAAATCTAAGAAATGGGATCACCTTGTTGGGAATATTAAATGCGACGAAGTCCTCGGTGATAGTAACTTTCCGAGGTACTCTCTTCGAAAGTAACAATGCCGTCCATATTTTTTTCGCACCTACGAAAGAATATGGATGAGAGAAGCTGCTTCATAAGTTTGCCAGTAGTAGTTTCACAGCTTACCGCATTGTTCCAGAGTATGAATGAGTTTAGACAACGTAAGACCCGTATCGACTATATCGTCCACTACCTAAAAAAGAGTCTTTACTTCTTTGAAACTGAGTGTACGCCTAGAAAACAGGTTTGTCCTACTGATGTCAGACTGCTGCCTTACCTGTTTGTCTGCGAAGTACCAAAATACAAGGTGCAAACGCTTGTACCTACCGAACGTATTTGGTCACCAATGATGCCGTAACTTTTTGAACGAAATGGCTGACGTGCATTTTTCACAGAAAATCAAACAGTTTTCCATGCATTTCTATCTTAACAAGGGCGCGTGTATAGCAGTGGTAGGAGAGGCTCTGAAATACACATGGGATCGATACCCGCATCCAAGGGTGCCAAGCCTTCCATCCCTCCGGAGTTGGCGAATTGGTGCTAAACTTGCCTGGGTGAATAGCAACACTGGCTCGGTACATCGGTAGGCCACAGTCAGTCGTTGTAAAGACCAGATATACATTCAAACATCCAACAATGTTTAATAAAGTCTAATGCATGGCGTACCCCTCAGCGACTGAACAATGCCGAGACCTTTTTCCTTTAATCCCTTCCATCTTAGCGAGAAAATAGTTAAGCGGATGGAAAAGTCACTTTCACAAGAAGTAGTTGAAAAGTTTCTGGTCAAATGAGCTTTCATTTTCCCTTCAGTTAAAGAATAACCTTTTGTCGTTCTCATCTACGTAACATTAATAAGCGAAAATACCCAGGTAATCGACATAAAGCATACTTCCAGAAAACTGTGCTAGTAAGAAGCATAAATAATATATAGCTAAATCGGAAAACTTGCCAAAACATTCTTTCCTCGAAGTTCCTCGAGATTACTGAGCCCAATAATTTGAACTGTTCCAGAGCTAACATCATCTTCGTAACTTTTACACCGAATGAAATCCACTGTCATGGGCTCTTTACACAACCATCGAGCATTTCCGAGTTCATCCACCTTTAAGGTAAGTTCATCTAATAATTTAGATACGATTAGAAGTTACCAGTTTTTACGAACCAAGGCATTAAAAAATTTGTAGGAACCCTTTAGCACACAGAGTAGTGACAGCTGATCAGCTCCTATTGTTTCGTGGATGTCTGAAGCAGAAAATATTAGAGAACGAATGGTAGTGATCAATTTGAATCTTCAACTAGACAGAAAACCTTTTGCTAGTCGCCTGACGCGATCGCGTATGAGTCCTTCTGTAATCACAACGGCGGATAGATCACCTTCATAACAGCGCGGAATGTCGAATGCATTCAGTGGCATCTGAAAAACTGATGAAACTCTCAAAAGAAAAAGGAAAATCTCCAATCTGAGTTTAGCTGTTTGCAATGCTACTCCGTGTCCAGTTGGTTTTATAAATATTAGTACTTTGACACTTGGATGGCCCGTCCTCACTGGTCACGCGGACCCCACCATAATTTCCATTCTCCAGAGATTTGCTGGTTTAACCATAGTGGTTTCCTGGAATCCCGAAGTCAGCCTGGCCAAAGTCTGCTCCAAGTCTTTACCACCACAGGGAGTCGCAGTCCTTGTACATTAGATGGAGATTTGCCACCATGCGACTTTGATACCAGGACGGTGGTGGATCCTGGTATTGGTTTACACTTAGCTGGGCTTCTTGATGGAAACGCCAGATTACTTCTCAGCTCGGGAGACTGCCAGGAGGATGAATCTTCTCGCTGTACATGGCATCGACACAGAAACACCTCCCATCCACGATGAGGCGGTAGACCGTTGGGAGGTTTTCCAAATATTCCTCAACGTTGTAAATTTTCGTTATCATAATAGGTGATGGCACTCTTTAACCTTCCGTTTCACAATATGCACTTCATACAGACTCACTAAGCATCAGTTAACAGAATGGATCAGTCAGTTAATATTACTGTCTATTCTTAACCTGTACTCATAAAAAGCATACATTACTGAAGGTCCACTAACAAGGTAACTTGATCTATGAAGAAATATATCGTAATTTAAATCAACAGCAGTGGAAACAATCTATAAGTAGAATGGGAAAGAATACTCACCTCAAAGTCATCCGGAATAGTAGCCTCGCTTTGTGCCATATCCAATCAAAACTTAAAAATCCTCATTAGTCAAGCAAAAATGATAAGACATAGTCTTGAGAACAAGAAAAAGCGTATATTCTTTATAACTGAACTTCACTGATTGGAACGAAATTGACTAAAATACACAGATTTTCGCCTACGAGAAATATGTGCTGGTTTTCTGCTACGACGAAATCCTCACTTTCCGGAACACACGAAACCTGTTTTCCCTTTTTTACGAGAACACCCGTCTGGCGAGTTCGAAGACCATTGAACAATGGTCGCACAGCAGGAAATGATGGTATTGCCTAATGCACCGCTGTATAGATTCTAATAGTTTTTATTTGTAATTATTAAGGCTCCGATAAATACTTTTTCTCGGCTACCGCGCCTGCGTAGGAAGTTTTTAAAAACTGATCTTCATTTCCAGTTTCTTCAGTGTCTTAATTCTAAACAAATTTCAAGTCGAAAGAATATTTCATACTTTTCATAACTTTAAGTCGTTAGAACAAAGTCTTTCCTGTAAATACGCAAAGTTTTCATCTCTTTTGTTACACTATTAGTGAAGACATAATGATCTAACACCGAAAAAACCGCTCCATCGAGAATCTATTGGACAGAAAAACAAAAAATGAAAAAACAATGTTTGAAAAACAAAAAGAAAGAACAAGAAAAAGAACAAAAATCTGGCTAAATCATTAGATACTGTCGTGTACCAAAAATCTGAAACGTCTCATTAAACATGAAAGCAAAACAGCAGTAAACAATCTAGGTAACGACTGAGTTAAGTTCCCAAGGCCTCTCAAATTTCGGCCTCTTAACTCCAGGTAGATACTGTATCCCTCCAGGTTTAGGCATTGTGTTCGGTCAAATGATATCAAAGCTGTATGCGGAAAAACCTCTGTTTCAATCCAACTGTAGCCAGCTCCATGAGCATCCGCCGTTTTCTGAGTGGCTCACTTTTTAAAATGTGGACCCATCCACACAGTTCGCATAAGGAGTGTGTCCAGTATCAGGTCAAAAAATCAACTCCGGATAAAGAAAGAGGTCACATGTAGTTATGAAATATTCGTTATTGCGGTTCATCTCTGAGTTTTTAAACAATCATCATGATTCCTGTACTAGAATTGCAATATTGGTTGCCGAATACGCAACACTATTTCTGAATCCTGTGAACCCAGTGCGCATGTGACGCAGTGGTCGGAGGCGCCCTGCAATACACATGGGATCAATTCTCGCGCCCATGGCCCACTAAGCTTTCCATGCCTCCGGGGTCGGCAAATTGGTACCAGACCTGTCTGTGAGGATAGCAGCACTGGGTCGATACGTCGGTAGGCCAAGGCGAGTTATTGTGAAGGCTAGAAATGTATTCAATCACCTCCAAACGAGCTTAATGAAATCGAATGCATGGCACATCGCTAAGGAATTGATCAACGCCGACAGCTCTATCCTTTTATCCTTTCCATGTGAACCCAGTGAAGCAGTTTATCTGACCTCGGCTTTTCCATCCAGGTGCTCATTATTGTGAACCTATATTGACGCATACACCTCCTTAAGACATACCACTCACCACGTCCTACAATACATCGACAGTACCCGAACTTGTGCAATCTCTTTGTCCGCCATTACAGTACATTATGTAGTTTTTGTTGTTCTTCACAGATGTTTGTACCAGCTGCCAAAGCTTAGTTAGTATTGTAGTGGTACTCGGTGGCAATACAATAACCTCTCTTTCGAACAGTATTTTCCAGACATCGCTCAATAACAATGGTTACTTCATTCTACATGAAGAAAACTCTAAAAAAAGCTTATCTACACTCGAATGTCTTCCACCGAAATCATGAAAATATGTGGGCAAATATATTGAGTGTTAACATCAGCCTTTGCAAGCTGTCAGAAAGGCGGCACCTGCCAAAAAGTTGGCCATTGTGAACTATACGTGTTAACAATCTGTCAGCTCATCAAAAGTACGGTACCTTATGAGAACTAACTGTTGAAACAGTAATATTTAGTCGTCCTGGTCGAGAACAATAAACAGTGACTCACCACTTAATGCAAAATACTGGTAAACTTCTTGTTCTTTATTCGATCTACCTTCTTTATTAACAAAATGAAGTCTCTCTGTATATCAATCCCTGATGGATGCACCATGCATTCGATTTCATTAAACATCGTTTAAAGGTGATTGAATGCATATCTGGCTTTTACAGTGACTCGCGGTGGCCTACCGATGTATCGAGCCAGTGCTGCTACCCTCCTAGACAAGTCTGGTACCAATTTGCCGACCCCGAAGGGATAGAAGACTTAGTGAGCCATGGACGTGGGAATCAATTCCACGTGTGTATTGCAAGGCACCTCTGACCACTGCGCCACACGCGATTCGTATATTTAAGAACACTCCATAGATGCTTTCACAAAACTACGACGCATTACATGTCCTGATGAGCTAGCCTGAGGATCCTTCCCCGAAAAAACCTTTCAATCCAAGCTACCTCAGGATTCTAAAAACGTTGAACCGCTGTCCACATGCCAATAGGGAAAGAAGACAGATCCTCAAACTGCAATTGACAGCACACAGAAACCCAACCACTATCTTGAATAGGGTTTGCAAGGCAAGAGTTGAAATGCCAGGGCCGCAGAAGACGTGGACAAGGATCACTTAAACTCCTAAGCATCATACAATTTAGTAAAATTTAGTGCTTAGTTATCCGTTTCTCATAACACGTATAGAGTACCACTTTAAAACACACAGCTGGAAGCTTAACCTTCAGAGCCTGTGCCGATTTTTCGATAACTGGATCACTTGACATAAAGTCAAAGAAATAACCTCATTATGTCTTTCTATGGGTATGAATGATTCTATTTAGTATGTTATTTTAATTCTAGACTTGTTTACAAAAAGAAAGTCCTTAATTCTAGCCTGACAACAGGCAAATCAGCAATACATTCGAGGGCACCCTCATTTCTTGCTTGGCGAAACTCGATTTACGAACAGCATCGCTGTTCGAATATCGAGCGTCAAGCATAGAAAGTGAAAAGAAGACTGAGCAATCCAGGAAAAAACCTGGATATTTTCGTTACGGAGTGAGTAAACTGGTGTCCTGTTTACAAATGCCTGTGTGTTAAACAGGTATTTCTACGAATGCAACACGCCGCAATATGTCAGTGTAGTTAAGCTAGAAGGTGCAAATATTTTCGGCTATACATGAATGGAAATCTATTCACATCTTCTGACTATCTCCTCTCTTCCGTGCCTATCGCTTAGTTGAAGTCATCAGTTCCAAAGGCCTAGTTTTCTGCTCATACGTCGCAGAAAAACCCTAAGACTCCTCGAAATGAATTTTTCAGCACGAATACCACCATTAACACGTTAAACGAATTCGCAACGATGCCTAAGCTTGGAAGGGACATCGTCAGAGAAAAGCGTCTCACTGCTCGCCATGCGCAGGACCCGCCGAATTCTATGCATACGGTCCATTGTGTATGCCACGTCTGATCACGCCTCTCTTGTTTTTTCGTCCTAAAAATCGAGTTTTCCAAAAAGTCTTCCACTCATTTCTACCTCTTTTCCAAATATTGGATGCATGGATCTTCTATGCTATTCCATGTAACTCACATATTTTTGGAACAACTCGTCCACAATCCAACCACAGTGCTTGCTCTTAGTCCCTTGGAGGTGTTTCCAATATAAAAGAATAAATGACAAAGCCCTCGACATTTATCAATCCCTGAGAGATCCGCCATGCATTTGACATCATTAAGCATCGCTGGAGGTGACTGAATGCCCATCTGGCCTTTACAATGATTCGCAGTGGCTTACCTATGCATCGAACCAGTGCTGCTATCCTTTCAGACAGGTCTGGTACCAATTTGCCATTCCCGGAAGGATTGAAGGCTTGGTGGGATAGAGGCGCGGGAGGCGATCCCATGTGTATTGTAGCGCTCCTCCGACCACACACGAGCCCATTGGTCTCCAATATACATTCAGGATATTTCGGCAAATTCAAACCGCTTATTTCCACTCATATACCAGAGAATGGAGGCGGGAGTAGTGACCAGCTAGGTGAAGCAGGAAGTCAGTTCACAAATAGTTTGATAGTTCAGGACCAGTGAATTATCTATGGCACTTAATTTGAAATGAAGAAACTACCTCTGATGGGATGCACTTACTTGATACTTGAATAGCCCGTCCTCACTGGTTGTGCGGGCCCCAGCATAACTTCCATTTCTTGGGAGATTTGCTTTTTAAACCATTGTGGTTCCATGGAATCCCGAGGGTCAGCCTGACCAAAATTTGCCCTGGGTCTTCATGACCATAAGCAGCCGTAGCACTTGTGGATCAGAGGGAGGATACCAAGGCGTTAGTGGATCTCGGTGTTGGTTTACTCTTAGCTAGGGTTCCTGATAAAAATGCCGGACTCCTTCTCAGCTTGGGAGATCCTCCCAGGGAGATGAATTCCCCCACTGTACATCGCAGTCCGACAACCAGGAACAGTTCCCAGCCACGATGAGGCGGTAAACCGTTGGAAGGAGGATGCAAATATATATATTTATGGATTATCTACTCAGTGATTTTTGGAATCTGCTTGTGAACGAAGTGACCACAGAAGACAAGGATCAAAGAAGGAAATCGGCGAACAGTGGAGAGATCAAGTTATTTGACTACAAGGGAAGAAACAACCGTAACATCAAATTGTTCAGACTGTGCACAAGAAACCTGGCTCAATTAACACTACAATGTACGACGCTAAAGTAATCAGAACAGGAGCTGTCGCTGTTGCAAAGATGTGCATGAAAATCTTTTTATGAGAAAGGCATCTGCACGCTGATAACCAGTGCAGAACCCTTAGTCATCGAGTGACTGCCGCTTCCAGACGAGTACCCAGGCAACTGGCTCATGCACAAAGAACAGAAAAGATCTCTCCATAGTTGTCCAACAGAAGCCTAGCAAAGCGCAATCAAATGTGCAACAGAATGTCGGCGGTATTATTGATGATGAATTGCGGAGATAAACCGGAGCACCATCATCACGTCCACAACATTCGACGCAATCCCTCCTCACTAAGTCCTCAACATCACAGATTGTTAAACTTTTCGGGACACAGCTTTCCCCTAACTTATTCACAGAGAAACGTTGGATGAACCTATGGACGAACTGTGAGAATACAGAGATCCCAACTAATGAGTCCAAATTACAAGCATGGACATCCAGTAAATTAAATGCATACTGTTCATTTTTCCCCACGTATAGTTCGAAACAGAGCACATATAGCACAGCTGTCATAGGTGCCCTGCAATGTACGTGGTCGTTGGTTCAATTCACGTCCCAAGGTCAAATTGATATCAGACTTGCTTGGGAGGGTAGCATCCGAAGTAACACATCGATAGGCCACTGTGATTGCATAGGCATTCAATCACCTCTAACGATTCTCGACGAAGCCGACTGCATGGCATACCCTTCATACATTGATCAATGCCGACCGCTCTATGTTTTTGTACATTAAGAACAGTGCTAATCGTCACGAATATGTCAAAACACCTGCTGGTAAAACAATCTCGACACGAGAAAAATTCGCCAACTTCCAACCTTCACGAATATTCCTCTTAATGTATTTCTTTTTAAAACATTAAATTCTTTGCAAAGTATGACTTCGAGAAATCTAACATTACGTTAAGATTTGTAGTAAGGATAACTGGGAAGCACCAGAAATGAACAGAACGATTATAATGAAATTCTTTTATTTTCGTACCATAATGGAAATGACTGTAAAAGATGATTGAAGAAAGCGACAAGTGTTTATGTGAGGCGCCGATCTGCAGTGGAACACAGCTGCCCTACCAGCATTAGAGAAACATTACAGGAAAAACACTTGCCTGTTTATCAACAAATCTCACTGATAAATAACTAGTCAACAAATAAAGGGAAAACAAACAGAATACGACGCCTAAGAGCCCACAAAACTTGTAGGTTTCATATCCAGCCTTTATAGTCGTTTATTGTGAATCGATTCTCCTTCCGCCCACGTTGTACTGCGCTTTGTTTGCCTTTTACGCGAATTTTATTCTAAAAATACAAAGGTCACATTTGTTCTGTATTCAACAGCCTTTTGAGACCTTTTCTTTATTTCGCAGTTTTTCCAATGCCAGCCTCCGCTTGATTTCTTCAAGTGGAATTGTTGAGCTGGTAGACATCAAAGACGGTGCAGCTCTAACTGATTGCTGATTCGAAGGAAGTTTCGGCTTCTGAAGCCAAGAATTTGTTCAAGACGATAAAATCCTTAAACTGACAAAGCAACTACTGAATGAACAAAAGAACCTCGCTAGAGTAAAGTATTCGGGATTCCTCGGTATTGATACATTCAGGACACTCTTCAGTTTGAATGTTCGGTTCACAAGCTATTAACTCTCCCTGTACTTTTTCAGCACTATTCGTATCAGTGAACATAGGATGCTCATCTTCACTGGACCCAATCTGCTCCACAACTAAATGTTCGAGTTGTAATGTAGCTTCTCCCAACCAATTTGTAAACCTTTCCGATCGAGAGAGTAGTTTCGCCTGAATCTTCGAACTATAACGAAAGCAAACAACTACTGTTGAAAATACGAAAATTCTAACCCCATTTTCCCGTAATTCCTCCTCTTTGTGTAGTCCTTCCTTATCTTCACCGACATCGGAGATGGTACTGCATTCCGATTCGGATTCATATGATGAGGAAATATTCTGTAGAACAATAATCCACAATAAATGATAAATGGTGATTGAAAATCTAACATAACCAAGTAGCTGAGATCAATGTTGAAAGCATAGCAGCAAACAAAACATTACCTCTTCTCTTTCAGACTTTACATCCAAATGTGAATCCGTAATATTGAGCGTTGATGCGTCCTCACAGTGCGCTAAGAAATTTCCACTGTCGTAGGCCTACGAAATTAAATAGTGTAAACCGTTTATTTAACGATATCTTTAGTAGATAATACCTTATTCAAGTCAATTTCCATTTGCTTAGTGAATCCACTGGCTTCTAACTCCACGTCCAAATGGTACTTACGTTCAATATCCATGAATTTAGGATAGTCTTCGCTATCATAGTTGAACTTTCGTCTGTAAAAGAGCTCTAGTAAGAAGCAACTGCTGCCATCACCATTTAAAAATGACCAGCAAATAACAGTGATCTCCACGCACTTAATAACACTGAAACTTACGCAAAGTATCCTAAAAACTCAATTCTTTGTAAAACTCTCTATTCATATGGTTCGCCTTCACCTACTCTGCGAATTCCAGTACTTAATTCTTTCAGTTAGTTGCTTTGTCATTCATAAGCGTCATCGGATTTACGAGTGCATTCAACTGCCACTTGAGAAATTTGCATTTTTCATGAACATAGTTGAACAGTAGTACCTTTGACGAGCTCAGAACTTTTGGAACAGTTCCGGTAAATGGTTCTCAACTTTTCACCACTGGCAGTTGCCAACACTAATACATCCATCGGTGGCAGGTTCTTCTGGTCAACTCTGCCACGAATTTGTGAACGCGGGGCGATGGAAGTCTTGGCTAAATCGGAGCTCCTGGATCTGGATCTTCTAGATCTCCAAGAAGATTACGTGGGGTAATCAATACAAGGTGTTACGACTGCTTGTGCTTCTAAGAAACTGTTACGGAGGTATAGCTGTTCCCTGAAGAGTTCTTCATGTGATATAATTTCAATGTAACTCGATTGTGACACTAGCGAAGTATAAAATCATTCGGTACTTCGCAATTCGACGAGTAATGCGATCGAAATAGCAAAACCTTTCAATATTCAAATCAACTGCATAACAAACGCCACTAAAATTTCCTATGAAATTCAGTAGCAGGAATTACGTAACTGGATTACACATGGCTGATCTAGACGATTATTACTCCACAAATAAAGATAAAGGATAACGGATAAAGCTGTCGACGTTGATCAACCTCTGAAAAATGAACCATACATTATACATTAGCTATGGCCAAGCATCGTAGAAGTGACTGAATGCATACTTCGTTTGCACGATAACCATTGGGGTTTCACGATGCATCAAGTCAGCATTTCCTATCCTTAAATTTGGAGTCAATAATCACTTAATGAAACCAACGCGCACACCGTACAGCAGCAGGTAGAACCACATCAAAGCAATCAGGGATACAGATATCATATTTGTCATCGACAGGAACCGAACTATGATGACGAATCACAATCTCTGCACCAAAGTACTACTATTGTAATTGAATTCGAATCAGAAAAATTAAGAGGATCTAGATTAAAATTTTAATACGTGGCACAGAATCCGCATGTAGAAAGCCTTTGTGGAAGACAGTGGGTATCAGATGATTCTTTCATCAACTTATTTCCCAAGTTTTCGTGATTTAAAAGTTTTCCAGGAATGAAGGAAAAAAATCCTTTTCTAAAAATGCAGAGAGAAACACACATGGAACATACTTTTTTCCTTGCATAATTTTCTAAGAGTCCAAATCCGAACAAGTGTCTAAGTCACAATAAAGCACAACCATTAAGTGAAGTATGAGTTTATGTTTACAAGAAATCCTCCGACTCACCGGAAGAAAGTTCGTACACATTCGACGTCACGCTCAAAATAGAACTGCGCATTTTGGTGAGTGATAGATACCATTTGAGGAAAGTCGATCACCACAACTTGTTCACTCTGAGGATCAAAAAGAGTCAGTAGAAAACACCTTAGAGATAAACAGATAGAAAAGTTGAGTTCAAACCTTGAAATATCCTGCACCTAATTACAATTAAACTAAAAAAGGCAAAGAAAAATAACCTCCAAAAGCATCACATTGAACTCATTGAAGTCTCCGTGAATCAGGCCATGACGCGCAAACTTTACAATAAGTGCCATTAATCTAGGAAAAAAATTGGTATTAGTAACACCAAATAGCAAACCACTAAAGAAACTAAGAAAGAGCACTGAATATGAGAGCAAAATAGTCTTTCATCACACCAGGAATGTTATCAACACCTGTTGTAGAGTACTTCGATATTTTCAACACGATCGACATGGTAGAGAGTTTTCCCTTCAACAAGGCTCATCACCACGAGATGGCGACAAACATCCACAGGTTTAGGAACGGGAAAACCACGCGAAGCTAATGCCTTCAAGAACGCAAACTCCTGGAATATGGGCGCTAAATCCCGTGCAATATGTTACGGCAAATTGATGTTTAAACGAAGCGCAGCTTTCTCTCTATTCAACCGAAAGTTTTAAAACCAGAAATGCTGGAATTTACACAGAAGGATACTCAGTACACATGTTTTGGACAATTATGAACAGAAAAAATAACTGAGAACTGATAACCTTAGCTGCAGCGAGCCTGCTAAGGTACAACCACGAAGCAGACTTTCGTTTTTTATGGTAATCGCGTTTCTCCTTGATTTTACGAAATGAAGTTCGACCTAGTCGATGAAACTTCAAGCACAGGTCCTGAACAAAATCAAGCAATAACAGCAGCATTACCAAGCCAGTCCTTAGTAAACGTGGATAGTTACAAAAACAAGTAGTAAACTCGTACGTTTTGATCAGGATCGCCACCAACATATACATCTGATTCCTTTCCAACACCAATTTGATTGCCCACACTTCCTACGACATCCCGCATGCACAGCGCTTTCAATGCGATGAAGTCATAGCCCAGTACAGTTAGACGATAACCATCAACTAAATGGACTATCAGTAACTATAATAACTATCAAAAGTGACAACAATACAAAAAGTTGTGAATTAGAAAACATAACTTTTGAGGTAAGGTCTCAGACTCTTCAGACTCAACAATGTTCTACATGCTCGTGTCAAGGGTCATAAAGTTCTCATCAAGAGCTAAACTACACATCACTAACTTATTTACTTGGATATTTGGAGAACCCGCCTTCACTGGGTGTGCGGGCTTAGCATCACTTCACTTTTTTGGGAATTTTGTTGGTTTAGCCATTGTGGTCCCCTGGAATCTTGGCGTCAGCCTAGCCAAGTCTGCCCCATGTCGTCAAAACCACAGGCAGTGACCGTGGATCAGAGGGAAATTTGGCACTCTGCGACTAGTTTGATACCAGGATGGTGCTGGATCGTCCTATCATTTTCAGCTTGGGTGACCGGTTACCCTCCTGAGGAGGGTGAATCCCTCAGCTGCACATCGCAGTCCGACACCAAGGAACAATTCCAGGCCATGAGGCGGTAAACCGTTGATAACACACATTACTAAACATGGATTAAACATCCTCAGCTCAATTTTTGTATTTTAGGGTTGAACGGTGAGTTACTGGTTAATAAACATCCGGGCTTAGTAAAAAAAATTGGCTGGTAAGAGAGAAACAAAAGAACCAAAAGAACCAACATTTTTTACTTCTTTCAAAAGCAACGAGAGCGTGTTTACACAAGTCAATCAAAGTTCGTGCAACAGCTCCTCGATGAATTCCTGCTATTGCCGAAATTAGCGGTAGTGGGACAACTTCGTGATTCTTCATACCCATTTCAATCTAAAACGAAAGTATACCACAGTTACAATCAGACTGCAATGTGGTATCAATGGAATGTGAATGCATAAAGGTTGAAAATACATTTAAAGAGTACAAAATCAGAGATCCACCTATGACCCTTCTCTTAACACATTATCTGATCTCAAATGTCTTATTGGTTCTATATCAAGTGGTTCACCCCTCCCCTCCCCACCCTTCCCTCTCTCTAGTGCACTTGATCAACACCTACAAATCCCACGAATGACTAATTCTAACAAAAGATGCCTGCCATTATGCAGAATTCTTTTATTCTCTTTCTTATTTTATTCCATTCGTTTTCTATGGCAGGATACTATGTGAAATGCACCCACAAGGAAGAACATATGATCAGAACTCAGAATATCAGACGTGCCACCATGCACGTTAAAACATGCTGAGAGAAAGGCAAAGCAATAGCTTCGGTTGACGTGGCGGAAAGCATGTGAGATCCCGGTAAAGGAAATCACGCGTTCGAAGCCTAGCTAAGGTTCCAAATTTGGCACGTGTCACTGCCTCCCTGTGGTTAATGTGGAACATTCCTCAGCGCACCAAAATTCGAAATATATTGCTATAAAAGGATAAATCTCTCGAAATTAATCAATCCCCGAGAGATGCGACATGCATTCGACTTCATAAAGTTCGTTTGGAGGTGATTGAATGCATACCTGCCCTTTACAATAACGCACGGTGGCCTACCGATGTATCGAACCAATACAGCTACCCACACTCACAAGTCTAGCACCAATTTGCCGACCCCGGATGGTGGAAAGCTTGGTGGGCCTTGGGTACGGAGATCTATTCTATGCGTATTGCAGGGCGCCTTCCACCACTGCGCTACGCGCGCCCTATGTATTGTTGTACTGAAATAAACTATTATAACGTACTTCTCCACTGAAAGAATTTAACGGATAAAAACAAAAAGGAAAACCAATGATCTCACAGCAATCAGTACTCGGAAATCATCTTTCTGAAGATACCGAAACTTGTCTATGTCCATACGCCCCATCCTACAAAACGTCACGACAGAAATCATGGAGTCACTTTCTGCATCGTAGTAGTAAAACTCGTAAATGATATATAAGAATAAGGTAACAATAAACCCGATATTTACGTACGTACTGATTGCGAATAGATTTATTTTCAAAACTGCCAACAAAAACAGTGAAGCATCAAGTGCACACTTTAATGGACCGCACATTGTAGAAGAGAACAATGAGATAAGAAATATATAATTTCCTGAAGCTAAGTCTTACAATTATTAATGTGTAAAAGATGCATGCCAGAAAGTAGTTCTCCGTAAAGATTGACACAAATCTAAAAATCTGATAATGGTAGTTTATATAACAAAGTACGGCGTAGCCAGATCGTTTCTGAATGTAGACAATAACAGAGCAAACAAATCTTAAATATAGAAGAAAATAACCAAAATTAAACCGGTAAACTGCGGTGAGTAGCGCGGTGGTGTTGGTGCCCTTCGTAACGAGCATGGTGGTCATTCGAATCTGTCCCAAGCTCACCAAACCTCTCAACCAAGTATCAGTATAGGTAAATTGGTACCTGAGTTCTCTGAGAAAACTTTACTCCCTTTAAAAGCGATGTTAAAACGCTACAGCTCGGTTATCCCGGGATTCCAGGGAGAGTGGACTCGACCAAATTTCAAAGACATTTGTGAGGAAGATGGAATCCTCAAGCAGCGGTCGCAACCATAAGCGAAAATTCCGAAGCTTTCTGAATGGGGGATGCTAGAAAGTGGCTCGAATGGAAGAAATCCTGAGATCGGAACGCTGGATTTTGAAGACGGGTCGTGTAAAAAAAAGTAGAAACACCTTTAAACATCTACCGCTATATCGAACCTATGCGAAAGATCAAAAAAAGAAACAAAAACTCAACTGTGCAAAGCATTACGCTGAAAAAGGTTTGAACATCGCGATAAAGGATAAAAGATAAATTATCCGGAACTGATCAATCCCCGAGGGTGACGCTATGCATTCTTCATTAAGTGCCGTTAAAGGTGATAGAAAACATATCAGACATACAATCACGGTGACCACTCATTGTATCAAACCAGCATTTCTACACTTCCAGATAAGTCTGCAACCAACCAACAGGCCCCCTAAGGAATGGATCCAACTAACGAGTACGAATGTACGCGGAGTACCTCCAACCGCAGCGCTACCCACCCCATGAACGACGTGATATCTCAAACGTAATTAGCGTAGCTCGTGAAGAACTGTGTACTCACAGCAACCATACGAAAAGTATACAATGAGCATCATATAAAGAATTTCTGTAGAACCTAAACAATTCATAACAAGCACCAAAGCAGTTCTTGAACTGCAATAAATAGACACACATCACCTTAAACACCTAATTTTGATGGCTATAATCGACTTTTCTTCACAGGTGGAGAGTTGCTGTGATCTGAACGAATCATACGCTCCATTATTGAACTACTTAGCCTCGGATTCCGATCTTTTAGCGCCGACCACGATTCCGTATTCAATGTATCACATCTATTTGTATTCATCTGAAATAACTTAAGACTAATTGCTCTGCTGTTGATAAGAACTATGCTGGTGTTTTTGCTTTAAAAAAATTACATGCTCCATAAATGCTATCAAGCACTTTTATACAAAAGAAAAAAAAAGACTTGGAAGACCACTGTACGACAACCTTTCTTGAAAGAATGTCGTACCTCAGCAAAGAGCACTTTATGCCAACATTAAAATTCTGTCAAATTCGAAAAAAGTCAGTGTTTAGAGAAAACCAAATGAGGAAAAAAAAACATTTGTTACTTACGAAATCAAGGCAGTGCTCATACAAATAATTCGCCTGGTGAAAATCAGCCAACTCCAAACAGTCAATCACATTTGTAGAGCAAACTCTGTAAACGGAACTCCGACAAGAAAAATCAGCAATCAATAATTTTTTATTAAATTAACGTATTTCTCTGTCCCACGTTTTAAAATAGTATCTCATCTACTTGGAAATAATAACGGAACATCAGCCCAACACAAGTCGGCTTCATATACCTCGACATAAGGTCTTGCTCACACATTGTTTTAAGGTCGGGAATATTGTACTTCTCTGCCAACTGCATGACTTCAGAAGCGTCCTACAATTTGGGAGATAAATACAGTTATTACCGAATCCAAAAACAGACTACTAATGAAGTGACAGAAATACCTCCAATTCTAAATCCTGCAGAGAAATTGAGCCAGTATAAATGAAAACGAGCATAATTCGCACAGCAGCGGCGGAGAATTCTTCAATTACGATCATATTTGTCTAAAAAGTTAGACTTTCCCTCGTTAGTATGACTGAACACTAATAGACAAAAGAAAAAATGTATGATAGGGAGCATCACATAGCCAAAAAGCACAAATGCTGGCTAATCGAACCCTCTATCGTTCAACACGCCAGCTAGTTCGTAACTAGTTCCTAAGTTCGTAAGTTCGTGACAGCTAGACCGTTTAGAGATGAGGTAAAACTGCATAATTTGACCTAACAGACGGTAAAGACGCTGACTGCAGGAGTTCAACTATGGTGTACCTGATGTCTTCTAAATCGTGCAGGGATGAATATATTAGAAAAACAGATAGACCACTTTGTATCCGTGTAAACAACACCTGGACGGCAAGCGTGAAGTCAAACAGAACTCCACTAAGCGCACATGGGACAAAGACACATAACGAAGAAGATTCTGAAGTGGAATTCACCACCCTAGCGCAGAAATCTAAAAGTTCAGCACTTAAAACCCTGAAAAATTCTAGATAAATTCCAAGAAGCCAAAAATCAACCGCAAGGGGGAATGCTTCGCTATCACACGTGATCTCAACCACATCAATACTTTAACATAATTGGAGCGCATTCCCCATCCAAGTGAGCTTTGCACGGTTGGTATCCTCGTGGAATACCCAGTGGAAGACGCACAGGGAGCGGTTAATATTTGTAGAAGCTGTTCTACATCTGCTGAGATTGAAAAGTAGGTATCGTGGCTTTTCCCTTGAGATTATTTAGGTGTATGGCCGATAAGGTTGCAGTTAACTTGACCATTCCAGGCTATGAAGAAAGCGAAATCCGGCGAAGCGTCAGCTTCTGTGGGTAAATCAGCAGTATGGCAACAATTTCGTATTTGCTTACCAAGAAAAAAGCTTGTTAATCTTATTCAAAAGAGTGGTGATCTTGCTCAGTTATACACTTGTCATAAAAGTAATTGGTTCATAAACAGTCAAAGACAAATGATTCTATATTGCTCTTATTAGTCGTTTCTTCCCGTTCGCAAATCATAACTTCGAATGGCACCCTAAGCATTAGTGTAATCTTTGTGCCTCATTAGAAATTGTCCACCTAATTCGAAATCCAACAAAATGACACACTTTGCTTTCCTCCATATTATGTTCGAGCATGGCACGAAACACATCTGAATGAGTGATAAGTTTGTATTTGTGTACAGAGAACACCGTTCGATCGTCACCGGACCCAGCAGCAACACTAATGTCGGAATATAGCGAATTCTCAGGATCCGTAAACATTGCAAGCTCTGTAACTGCCATATTGGAGCTTGTATAACAACTAAAATAATCGACCATTTTGTAATCACTTTATTACCGGTTACAATATAACGGGTGAAAAAATGCTAGGTCATCATGACATGTGAATATGAGCTGTCAGTTCCTTAATTTTAGAAATTTCACCCTTCATTTCTAAATAACTTTACCACCGCTGTTAGGACATATCGTAAAGAAATGACATAATATTTCAAAACCGACATTACTTTAACTCCGGTAAGACTAATCAATACCTATTCCTTCCTTGGAGAACTTACACGAGATTAATATATAATTTTTATTCGGTTAGCGTTTCCACACCTTCGTCTTCATCAGGGTCGATGACTAATGAGGCAAGACGTCGAAACGTTAGTCGAATTAAGACTGTATATCAACCATTTGTAAGCTTATCAAAGAAAGAATACACATCGCAAAGACAGATCTGATCAAAGTGGATTTATTCACTAACAGAAACGAGTTTTGTAATGCCTACCATTTTTCACGTGAATTCGAGATACTTCGTCCATTTCCGTTATTGCCATAGTACTTTGCTCTACTCGCCTACATGGTATGCGACCAGTATCTGGTAGAAGTTCGACTGTGCACGATATAACCAAAGAATGGTCAGCTCTAATACTGTTCTGGACCTGAATAAACAATCATAGGTAAAAGAAAGAATTGAAGTGTATTCCCAGAATATCTGCACCAATTTCTACGATCTATAGAAGATTAGTGAAGAGCACAGCAAAATGATAAAGAATAATAATAAATGCTGGCAAACCTTCTGTCTTGGGATATTTCGCAAACCCCATGAATGCCCGCCTTTAGGTGGCTTTGCATGGAAGTCACCAATGTTAACATTACTAAACTTAATTTCATCGTCATCATCCAAAAAAAAGAAACGGTACTCTGCTTTGACGACCACCTAAGAGGTTCAGAATTACTCGTCTAAGCCCGATGTTTAAAAGTGTATACAACAACACCTCTTTCAGAGGAGACGTAGCAGACATCTTTAAGAACAATGACACGTTATTTGCGTTCTCAGGACGTTTACCTCCAGGATAAAGACATAGCTGCCAGCAAGCCTCAGGCATTGAAGGATATCTGATGGCAAAAAACATACGAAAATATCAAATAAAACATATATCTTAGTGAAAACAGAAAATGCGATGAACGAACTTGAATACGCTGCTTCGAAGACATAAACCCGGTTGGGAAAGCTTCAGCAACGAAGAAAAGTTGCTTACCTAAATAGAATATACGAGAACAGGAAAAGAACAGTAAATGCAACCAGTAAGTACCGTCCATCTCTGGGTGAGCAGAACAGGTTCGACGTTCGTTATGCACTCATTCGTCAGTGATAATGCCGATTTCCGTACGAGACGATGCGCCCCATGTGTAAAGGAATCTCCTCTTGATATTGAAAAACTATCGTCTCGACCACGAGGGCGAGTCCTAATTCGCTGGTTAGGTAATTCTGCCATGGATACTCTGCAAAATACAGATATGCTAAAGTAAAAAGGTGGACAAATGAAACTAGTTTTCCCACTATTTCATGACTATCAAGGGATAAAATAAAACGCTTCCACTGAATGACTGGTTCAACTGACAAATGACATAGAAAAGATAGTAATGGAAACTAGAAAGATGTCGCCTCACAACTGTTTACTACGTTACCGTGGATGTAAGGTGCTCCTGGGTGTCGGACTGCCGTGTACAGCGGAAGGAATCATCCCCACGGTATGGTCTCCCAAGCTAAGAAGGAGTTCGACGTTTCCATCAGGAAACCGAGCTAAGATTAAACCAATACTAGAATCCACCACCGACATGGTACCAAACTAGTCATGTGGTGTCAAATCTCTCTCTGATCCACAAGGGCGGTGACTGCCTGGGGTGGTGACGACCTGAGGCAGACTTTGGCCAGGCTGACCTCAGGACTACAGGGAACCACAATGGCTAAATCAGCAAAACTCCGAAACAATGGAAGTTATGCTGGGGCCCGCACAACCGGTGAAGACAGCCCATCCATGTATCCAAGTAAGTAAGACGTTGACCACCGGAGATAGATTCTCAATCAGCGGCTGCGTGGTGCTGGAGGATGTACCATATACTGTAACGGACTATCAAATTTCACATATTCAAAAGAATTATTTTAGTACAGGTATTCCGAAGTCGAAGATATTTAACCTAACCTTCTGAGATTTGTTGTGATCTCGCAATACACATACTCACAAACTTGCATACAGCGGCTTGGAGGTAGCAGATGACCTCTGGCAAAAAAAGTATCTTAATCTATGCCATACTGCTAGATTCAAACCGGCATTCTAAGTCTTCTTAAATACGAATACCTACAAACCTGTACCTTTCTAACCGTCCTCATAATCGTAGTCACCATGTCTGAGGTCAAAAGTCGTGCTGCCAGTGCATAGACAAGCACGAAACTGGTGAGTTTGAAAGCACCCCTAGGGACGGGTGTGGCTCACTGGTCGGAGGCCACCTGCAACACAGATATGGTATCGATCCCCGAGCCCGCACTCAACAAGCGTTTCATCCTTCCGGAGTCGGTAAATTGGTATCAGACTTGTCTGGGATGATAACAGCACTGGCTCGATATATCGGTAGACCACCGCAATTCATTGCAAAGGCCAGATATGCGTTCAATCACCTCCAACGATTCTTAATGATGTCGAATGCATGGCGCATCCCTCAGGGATTGATCAACGCCGAGAGCTTTATCCTCTTATCCTTTTAAAAGCACTTGTATAGAAAACTGCATACTCAGCCCAATAGCCTCCAGGGTAGTAAAGCCATAATGTGGATGCATTCATTACCACTTGAAAACGATTTACCGACTCCTTTGGAAGAACAACATTGTGGCTTCCGAAGTTCCATACGGGATTGCTGCTAATCGTTGTCCGTTTATATCAAAATGATAAGTGTGTGCATGATAAGTAATTCTTCTGAACAATTCCCTTCCAAACCCTATGGAACATTAGGCAGCCAGACAGAGGATCGTATTCGTATACAAAACGATTTCATGAAAACAATGTGAAACACTCATACACTCAAGACGAGAGAAGGTAAGGTATGGTTGGAACATACCAGTTTGATTTAGAAAGACCCTAAGACTTTTATTTACGTATTCCCAAAATTGTATTATTCCAAAGGGCTAAACTTTGCTCATAATAACTCTTCGGAAAACGGGCACTGCAACATATTACGGCAACACCAACGGAGTGGAGTACAGACGAAAACATGTCAAGTGAGGTTTGGAGCTTAGAATATCACAGCTTCCTCTGTCTCTACTGTTCGAGGCTTTGAAACGAACATATCGATGGTAGTAGAAGGGCTAATGGAGCCAAGTTTCCGTAACGTAGCACTCAAACCACTTTGAAATCGATTCTCCTAGCAATAGATGCACTTCTGAGAACGAAACAACACATTTAATAGCCACAAAAATCACAAAGCCGAAACCATAAGCAGATTCCCGTATGGTATGCACTCCGATGACGTCAGTCCTAGTAAGTATTCCGTTTAGGACCGAAGTAACGATGGCGCGCGAAAAACGGCTGGAGCGCCATAGCTCAAACGTGAGTCTAAACTTCTACTAAGATGAAGTCCAGTGGATGATTGATTCCGTATAGCAATGTTCATGGGTTTTGGATTCATATTCAAGCTGACTATCCCACATTCAAAAGGAGTTGGACTTCTTCGGCTGCTCGTCAAAAGAACAATGTCTTGTACTCCTAATGAAAAATTCTGTGGTTGACACTTAGTAACCAAGTTCGGAATTTTTTGCATCCTTCTCTAATACGACGACACTGTGACGCCACGAAATGGTGCTTCCTTGAGAGGAACTCGAGAGAACTACCCAATAGACGTGGAAGACGGATCTTCCAAATAAGCATACACACTTGATACTTGTTACTTGAATGGCCCGCCTTCACTGGTTGTGTGGACCCTAGCATAGCCTCCATTTTTCGAAGATTTTCTAGTTAAGCCATTGTGGTTTCCTGGAATCCAGAGGTCAACCTGGCCAAAGTCTACCAGTTCTTCATCACCACAGGCAGTCGCAACCCTTGTGGATCAGAGGAAGATTTGCCACCATGCGATTTTGATACCAGGACGGTGCTGGATCCTCGTATTGGTTTACTCTTAGCTAGGCTTCCTGATGAAACAGTCGGACCCCTTCTCAGCTTGGGAGACCCTGCCAGGGGGATGAATCTCCCCACTGTATATCGCAGCCCGACACCCAGGAACACCTCCTAGCCGCGATGAGGCGGTAAGCCGTTGGGAGGCAAATAAGTATAATTTAACAAAGTTTCTGTACTTCTATACAATCCATTCTCTACCATAACCATGCTTCATAATTGCAACTGGAACTGGCGCAATGAGCTTTCTTAGGAAAGATTTTTTGTAGATTTCTAAATGAGCTCGCTGACCAAGCAGTGGCAATGTCTCATATAAGAACTCAACCTGGCCGTTATCGGAAATGCTTCGCGGAAATTCTGCTTTTCCATTGATCCCTTATCATATCCATAGAGAAAGAGGTTCCACAAGCTGATCCCACCACGCCAAAGCTGCTTACGAGCTGCAGAGGATAATAAAGTCGCTCAACTAGGACAGGAATGCGTTTCCACGCATTGGTAACAAATCCTTGTCAAACCCTTGTTTTTTTGGTGAAATCGTCGTATTTTTGAGAAGTACCAGTGAAGCAGAGACGATACCCAAAGAACTCAACGAAGCGGGAAGAAAGATTGGGCAGAAGAAAGCATAAATAGGACGAAGACCCAGTCCATGAAGAACCCAAGGTGCTAGGTGAACGAATCAAACTTCATGGTTTTCTGACTTTGGCGACCACCTCGTACATGTACATACAACATTCAGTGAAGATGAAGAAGAGGAACTAGGCAGAAAAGGACAGCATGAATTGTGTTTGCTACTCTCAAAGAAGCCGTCGAGAATCTAACGAGAGCACAACTCTGTTCTCACCCTTTTGAATCAGTGATCCTCCAAGCGCTGTATTATAAACCAGAGGCGTGGGCTGATGCTTCATCTTCGTCAAAAATGCTTCATACCATCAACAGCGCTTGAATAACTCCTCTCGATATTTAACCGGCAGCCACAACGTCTAGCTGGAACGAGCAACTCAAATTTTCGGAACCTATCTCACCTTCGAGATCAGGGGAATAGCATCGATTGCGAAAGACAGATGGAGTGGTCATATAATGGGAAAAGCAGATGGCAGATGAACGAAAGGAACAGTGGAGTGGACTCCAAGAGAATGCAAGCGTCTTTTCGCACGATCTACCGAACGACGGACGAACGTGTTCGTGGCTTACGTCATCCATCTGGATCCGGAGATGGAAACGAAGAATGGAACTTGAACGGATGAAATAATAGATCTATGTCTCCGGACGTCGCCATGTTCGATGGAAACTGCTACCGTACAGGACGATTGCACGAGAAAGAGAGGATTGGGATATGTACTAGGGAGGTAATACTGGTAAAGACATTCCCTGTAAGTAAGTATGAAAGCATTTCTAAGTGCGGAATGGATCCTTTCGAGGCCGACAACCGCTGCTGATGATGATGATGATGATGATGATGATGAAGATCGTAGGCGCCCTTCAGCAGTTTAATGCCGTTATTTGAACGCGTTTGGAGAAGCTAATCGCCTAATATCTATTCGAAGTCTTGCTGAAGAACTTAGAGTTGGCCATCCAATAATCGCTCACCATTTCAAAAGTAAAGAAAATTGAGAAGGTTTGATAAGGGGGCTTACACAAATTGAATGAATAGCGGTGAGATCATCATTCTAAGGTCTGTCACTTGTTTTCTTTAAGCAACAAAAGAGACCGATGCATGGCACTCTAACGTGAGCGCATGTGCCCAAGGTTATAGGTGCTCTCAAATACACAGGTTTGGTCGTTGTTTCCATCCAGCGTTCTGGGCTAACCAACCTTCTGTTCTATCCCTCGGAGGTCTGCAAATTGGCACCAAACATGCCTGGGAGGAAAGCAGCACTGGCTCAATACATAGACAGGCGACCGCAGGGTACCATGCAGACCAGATATGTATTCAGGTATCTCTACGATCTTTGATGATGTTGAGTGTGCCATGCATCCTCTAGGAATTGATCAACACCGACCACTGCATTGTAATATGAGACGAGAAGTGGATCGTATACCAGAGCCGACGACGTTCGTTCAATGACTTAACAGGAATCAAGCTAGAAAACATTTTCCAAAGTCAAATTTGTGTCAGAAAATGGTTTTTATACTTTCGTTTTCGACAAGGAAATCGTGTAGTTCATGGTCTTCAGTTCTGGCGAGATGATGACTGCAGAGAACTGTTGTTACGAAATCGATGAGATCTTATAAAAATTGCAGAGTATGTACCCACATATCTTCATCATAAATGATCCAATCCGCTTGCACGACAACGTCAGACTCTATTTTCACACAGGTAAATGCTTCACGTGTTGAAAGGTATGATAGACTGCTCAAAGCTCAACCCTTATACTCATTGGACATTTCGCTAACGTACTTTCATTTTCCAAGCACCTCGGCAAGTTCTTCCAATGAAAAATCTTCAACAGCAAAAGCACTGCTAAAAATCTCCTTTAAGGGTTTGTTGCTTCTCAGAATTCGAGATCCTATGCAACCAAAACAGATACTGGTACTTTGTTCATAAATTATTATTTTCCATTATTTTTGAACTTGACTATATCGAATCACCCTCCATCGCGTTGAGATGGTAAGAAGACCAGGATGTGGGGACGTAATGATGAGACTCTTTTTGTGCTGAAAACACTACCTTACAAGATTCCCAAGGAGCGGTTCGAGCTGTTTTATGTTCTTCAGGACTAAGTTGTCCCGAACAAATACTCTTTGTTGCCGAAGCTTTCAAAACTGGAAGAACAAAGACCCCGGAGTAAAGTATACAACCTCTCCTGTTTGAACTCTGTTTACTGCATGCCTCTTTCAATATACTCTTCGTGAGAAAAGAGCACCTTGGTTAGGAATACCTTATGAAGCAACTAATACGATCGATCGAAGAGAGGATTGAGCATATCCTTATAAGCAGCATTACGTAGACATGCAAAATTACCGTCAATTCCATGTGAAGATCTTATGCATCAAATGGATAGAGCAACTCTGTTGACTACTATCCACTGAAAAAGAACGTGTGCTCGAAACGACACGACTTGGAAGGATCCTTTTCTCTTATGCCTAGCGTGAAAAAGAAAATCCCATTAAAAACTACAACTTGTTTCCAAGACCTTTAAAAAGTGTGCCAAATATATCTCAATTCTCTTAGTAAGAAATTGGAATTGCATTTCCGTCATCATGGAGGAGTACCTCAAGAGGAAAAAAACTGAAGCTACATTTAACTCCGGAGACGTCATACGGTAAATGTCAGCTGAACCGGGCATCTAAGAGATTTTACAACAGTCCATTGGTGTAGAACGAAAGCGGACCCTTAAAAAGAACTGGTTCGAGTAATTTCCACCGAGAAAATAGTGAATGTAAGATTCACTTCTTACTATACATCTGAAAGGAAACGAGAATCCTAAGACACTAGATTTTAATGAAGTAGTAACGGAGAACTTGAGCGTTTTTTAAAAGTTGAAAGTTCTGAAGAAATGTGTTTATACAAAGAGACGATGCCTCACAATGGTGATAACCACTTTTTTGGTTGTCGAAAACCTGTGATTCACCGACCTCTATTATCCAACAAGCAATTTTCACACCAAATAGGGAATGATCAATTTTTGAGATTTAGTTGCCCTTTATGACAAAATTGTTCCTGGGAGTCGGACTGCCATGTACAGTGGGGAACTCACGGCCTGACAAGATCTCCCAAGCTGAGAAGGAATACGGCGCTTCCATCAAGAAGCCTAGCTAAGAGTAAACCAATAGCAGGATCCACCACCGTCCTGGTATTAAAGTGGTATAGTGCCAAATCTCTATCCGATCCACGAGGACCGCGACCGGCTGCGGTGGCAAAGACCTGGGGCAGACTTTGGCCAGGCTGACTTCAGGATTCCAGGAAACCACAATGGTTAAACTAGCAAATCTCCGAAAAGTGGAGATTATGGAGGGGCCCGTGCGACCAGTGAGGACAGGCCATTCAAGTATCAAGTTATAACAAAATAGACTGTCATCATTCAGGAAACACGAAGCTTTTCTCGCAGTTTACTAAGCTATTCGATTGTTATCTCCCTTTTTGGTTAAAATCGCCGCAAAAATAGATGTAGTCAGAAAATTAAAAAAGACTTTTTCTTCTCTAAAGGTATTATGCCCCTAATACAGTAGTGGTGGTACTGTAATATCTCAATTACCTCAAAAGCAGCCGTGAACACAACAGGTCCGAGGGATGTAGTCTCATCATGGTGGATCCTTTGACTCTTTGTGAGAATTAGGTAAAAGGAAAACATAAGCTAAGAGTTCTGTATGCCGTTTAATCTTGACGTGATTCGCCTCGACGATACTACAAAGAAAATATCCCCAGGATGAACGGATGTGGACAATCCACTCGAACCACCCCGGTTCTGAAGAAAGCGAACTGGCCGAAACCTTATCCGAGTGAAGTTTCTATCGCCTTCTTGTTAGCTCATCAAGGACGGATCACATAGATATTGTAAAGTTGTTGCAAATGCGCCCGTTAGCGGTGAAGAATTTTTATGAAGCAACTTTGTGAAACACCTCGCAAATTTGACAGAAGCAAAAGCGAGAACGAGTTTGGGATTAACGTTGTGGTCTTTCCTCGTCAGGATTGTGTGAATTTTATGCAGTTGAAGTGGAGATGAAGAGTCTGGATCTTGTGAATTACATATTCCATATGTAATTTATTGTTATGGGTTCACAAAGCATTTTACGCTCCCTTCACTTCTTTCCGATGTCTTCAATATTCTTTTTCACCGTGATGACAGTAGTCCGCACTTTATACTTGAACGGCTCGTTCTCACTGGTTGTGCGGACCCCGGTATAACCTCCATTTTTCGGAGATTTGCTGGTGAAGCCATTGTGGTTCTCAGGAACCCCGATGTTCGCGTGGCCAAAGTCTGCCCTAGGTGTTCACCACCACAGGCAGTTGCAGCCTTTGCAGATCAGAGGGAGATTTGCCACCATGCGACTTTAATACCAGGACCATGGTGGATCCTGCTACTGATTTGCTCTTACCTTGGCTTTCTGATGGGATGGGAACGCCGGACTCCTTCTCAACTTCGGAGAAGCTGCCAGGAGAATAATCCCCCACTATACGTCGCAGTTCGACGCCCAGGAACACCTCCCAGCCACGATGAGGCGGTAAACCGTTGGGAGGAGTCCGCACTACTCGTCAAAAAATTTTATTACGGTCGTGTTGAAATCATGTACTGCACATGTGGATAGAGCGTAACAATATTTCAAGAACTGACTCTGCTTTATCTCGGTAAGACTCTAAACAATGTGTTCTTCCATTGATTAGCTAACAAGAGATTGATAAGAAAAAAAACTTCATTTGCCTAACGTTTCGCCTTCGTCAGGGCCAGATTGATTCAAGTCGACTGTCCACAGTACTTCCTTCTTCCGATGTACATCATCGTGATCTCGTCGAGTCGAATCTGGCCGGTCACTACCAACAACAACCGTCCTGTATAAAAGAGCAGAGCCGATTGAGGTACCTCATTCGAGGGCCGCTCTACTGGATTCGAAGATGCGACCTTACTAGATGCGACCACATAGACCTATGCCGGAAGAAGGAATAACTGTGGACAATCGACTCCGATCAATCCGCCTCTAAAGAAGGCGAAAGCGGAAAACGTTAGCTGAGTGATGTTTTTATTAACCTCGTGTTGGGCTATTAGTGTAAGAACATATGTTGTAGATTTTTAGTGCAATTTTTTGTAATGATATTCTATTAAGGGCGCGTGTGGCGCAGTGGTTGGAGGCGTCAGTGTGATACACAAACGTGGAATCGATCCCCGCGCCCATACTCCACCAAGCCTTCCATTCCTCCGAGGTTGGGACATTGGTACCATACTTGTCTGAGAGGGTAGCAGCGCTAGCTCGACACATCGGTAGCCTCTGCGAGTGATTGTAAGGGCCGGATATGCATTCAATCACCTCTAACGATAATTAATGAATTCAAACACATAGCGCATCTCCAAGGGATTGATCAACGCCGAAGGCTTTATCCTTTACCCTTTATACCTCGTTAATAAAATTTCGAAGAACACACTACTTTTTTACAATATGTTGCTTAAAAGTTGCCTGGCATTCCAATCTGTGAGAGCTCCCAGACGTTTTGTAAAACGATCGGTCATATTCCGAACACCTCAGTATTTGTCTACGACTTTCCATTAAGACTTTTAAAAAGTCAAGTTTATGAAAGGTAACTCTTAATATTCATTACAAAAAAATCACAACAAATTACTTAATAGTTTATCGCAATAAAAACTTATTAACTTATATAATAAAATATGATAATGCCCGCTAATAAGCGGGTTGATAAAAACAGTGTCGCAAGATTGTACAGGAAGTGGTTGTGGTGTTTGATGGAGGGAGAATCGAAAAGAAATACCGTGACTAGACCATACCGAAACTAGAAAAGGCATTAAAGCTTGGCAGCTCTACTGAAAAACTACTTCAGACAATCAGAAGATATTCATTTAGAGGGAAAAAGACGACAATACGTGTGAAAACAAACGATCACGGTGGAAGCAGCCAACATCAGCAACTTTCATCGTATCAGACTTTAAATATAATTTAAACAGAAAAGAAAAATAGCTCCTACAGTAACATTTACGTCTCATCACTAAACTTCCACGACGAATCTGGAAGACGACCGTTTATACGGTCTTGACTGGAAAAATTGACGGTAACAACGCGAAAGCGAATGAATGGTCGGAATGAACCATCAGAAAAATAGGAAGATGAAAAGGACTCATCTCGAGGAGAAAAACTGAAGCCACACCAGTAGTACTTCAACATTTGCGATAACAACCACATAACGCTGTTCTCCGCACGGAACCGTTTTTGTCTTTCATTGAGCGTATCTACTGTCGTTAGGTTACACTTCCCTCGCTCAGGAGCCCATCATTTTATTCAAAACATATGCTCATTTCTTAATGAGTATGCTACTAACTGAGCAATCCTTTCAAGTACTTCTACTTTACTCAAAATCTGGACCATTCAGATACAATGATTTCCAACGTAAGTGAAACTTGCGCTCATGACAGAAAGCAGGTCTCGCGGCGAAAACAAGCGAGCCTCTAGTTGTTATCGCAGTGAGTGTCAATAGTGGCCTGTCCAATGTGCTACCACAGCAGTGACATGACGACAGGAGATGAATAAAATAAAGGAGCAGTAGATGATCACTTTGGGTACATGTGTTGACGTGCTGCTGATAGCGCCATAGAAACTGCGAAATGAGATGGATAGAGACACAAACATATATGTAATTGCATGCGGAACATTAGGAAGAAAAGGACATCGAGTTGCCTAGAGGGTGGGCGAGTCGGAGAGGAACGTCCGTGGCAGTTCGGTTCATCCCACGGTCGTGACGCACTGAAGGGATTCTGAACGGAAACGACGATGACGACGACGATGACGATGACGGTAATGCGCACACAGCAAGCTAGTAGAGACCGCATCCGCGTAGGTTGTTAGCGATGATAACGTCGGTGACGGCGTCAAATACGAACTGAATGTTCGTCGTGTCCGTCGCGCATGTCATATGACAGTATATCTCCTAAATTAGAGATATGTTAATAACATTACTAAAATGATATGGAAAAATAAAAAGCTAACCTTTGTTCTAAGCTCGCCTTACTTTACAATTTTACAAGCTATTTATTATTTTGACATCTAAGAAGGTACGACAAAACACAAAGAAAGGAAACCTAACGAAAGGCTTCTTTCTATGTGTGGAAACACCGAAGAAAACAAGCGAACTGGCATACAGAGGTGGAATCCTGTGGAGGTGCATCTGCGAAAGTTGTGGAAATGCAACTAGCACTTGCATTCAAAACTAGTAACACCACTGACGTGCTACCGTTAAACCGAATCAAACCACATACTAGAAGAAGATAACAATAGTAAAGTCACAAGCTAGAAACCAACAGCTTCAGTTCCTTCTGGTCTACTTGAGGCAAAGTCTAAAACGTTGTCTCGCCTGAATAATAGGACGAAACATGGCAGTAATAGTAGCAACGACTTCTACCGTTCATCGCTCGTTCGGGATTTCTAAACTACCACGAAGTAGTTAAAAAATTACCAACTATTATTTCTTAGTAAAAAAATCTAACAGAATCACCTTCAATTAGCTAGCCAGAAAAATCACCAGTAAAATACGGTCTAAGTTTCATAGAACACTTTTTTTTTAGAAGAAAATACAAATCGTAACGAAACTCGATCGACCGATACGTAGCAACAACAAACATTTCTTTGGCCGAAGAAATTGAATATTAAAACGCAAAACACTTCACTAAAGACGACGTTACGGAAACTGTTTAGTAGTGAAAGAAGACAGAACCACAGTGATGTTAATTATTCCGTCAGGTCCCGTAACTGCATCAAGAGCGAGCAATACGACGAAGCCGACTTAATGCCTGCTTTCGCTGTGAAGCCATAAATGCACGTCCGGTTAGGTTTATGGCAAGACACGATCCATACATTGAAAAATAAACCAATATGGCTCGAACGAATGTGATTCACAGGCTTTATGACGTAGTTTCACAGGACTGCATGGTATCCAGCACCAATATGGCTCGTACGAATGAGATTCATTGGATTTGTGACGCAAATTCACAGGATTACATGGTAACCAGCCTATCTCAAAGAAAAACAAGAAAACAAAACGATGAAAAGGGAACTCCAAGAAAAATATGGAGATGAAAAGTGTAAATAAACCAAACCTTATTTGCTGATTTATTTTTCGCCTCAAATTGTGCTTGAATATACGCGGATGCTTCGTGATAGTCCTGTCGACCTAAATACAAAGTGAATCGAAGATATATTGGAAGCGTAGTTTGATCTTTTTCAAGTTGAAAAAATTGCCCACGTGCAGATAATATTTCCACGGCGAGGGTTTTCCACGCCATTCTTGGCTTTCAACTCAAAAAAAAACAACCAACAGAATTCAAAAGACTACCAGTTTTTGGAAACGCTTAAATGTTCCTGAAAAATACCTGAATATTCCGGGAAACATATAGTGAGCGGGCTTTTCTTGATTTTCTCCTCAAAGAGATCCTTTTTGTTCAAAAAAAGAATAATTGACGTATCCGTGAACCATTTATTGTTGCAAATCGAATCGAATAACTTTAGAGATTCGTGCATTCGATTCTAAAAAGCGTCACTGTTAAAGGAAGAAACACAAGAGAAAAAAGAATTGAGCAGACGGCCAAAACAGTGAATGCTCCGAATTGAACGCTCATAAAGCTTCTTGGAAACATTTTTATGTGAACAGTGTTTTACGGTAGGAAAAAAGCCAAGCTAAATGAAAAAAATTGAAAAATAAAAAGATGAAGCCCTTTTGTGAACATAATAAGTAGTACCACACAGCGGTTCACCGTCTCACCGTGGCCGGGAGCTGTTAATGACAGCTAAGACTAAACCAGTACCAGGACACACCATCGTACTGGCATCAAACCACAAAGGCAACGACTGCCTGTGGTGGTGACCAGCTAGGGCAGACATTAACCAGGCTAACCTTAGGACTCCAGGGAACCCCAGTGGCTAAACCAGCAAAACTCCGAAAAAATGGAAATTATGCTGGGCCCGCACAAACAGTGAGGATAGGCCACCCAAGCATCCAACTAAGTAATAAGTAGTCCGTGTCTCACCTACGTCTTATTATGAATACAATGCAACTACAACATTACCATAATGGCACAAAAACTCCAGTATTAATGAAATAATTCCTAAGAGTTGACAGGTAAGCATATCAACGAAAATTCAGGTGCACATCGAAGAGTCACCCAAAAAGACCGAATTGTTCACCACACGTTTATCACTTTTCTAAGCAATGTTCTCTGTTTCCCAACTTTGACTGAAACAAAACTCCAAATTTGGAATGACTGTACATAACACACTTTTTCTTTTGCTGTCTGAGTAATATATTTCTTATCAGTAACCACGATTTCCACTACACCCTGCCTACCACGAATCATGTCCCTCTTGGACCAATGGCGACGTTGGCAAAAACATTTTTCAGAAAAAAACTCAAATATAAATCACTGCCTACGAAAGCATGGATATTTTCCCTTAACATTTCATTACCATGGACGCAAAAATGGGCTTACATGCGTTATAAGTTAAGTAAGAAAAAGACTTAGTCACTAACCGTGGTTTCGTCTTCGTGGAGCACCTGGTCGTATTCGGACATGGCTACGCAAAAGATGATCGCCGTGACATCTTCGAAGCAGTGAATCCATTTTTTTCGTTCCGACCGCTGTCCACCAACATCAAACAACCTAGAAAATAATTTCAGGAAATAGAGAAAGGTCTAGGATATGAGTTAGAAGAACACAGGCATATACTGGACATTTGACGTGGGAGATGCTTGCCAGAAAATGGGGATACTAGCTGATACTGCAAATCGCCTTTTTTCTATGCGACCCGTCTTTCACATCTGTTGTGTAGATTCCAGCACTTCCTGCACTCGATTTGCTGCATCCAAATCAACCTCTACAGAGGTCTCTGAACTTTTCACATGTGAGTTTGGCTGGTGCCTGAGGATTTTCATTTCGTCATGAATGTTGTTGAATGCTTGCCGAGCCGATTCTCTCCGAAGCTCTGAGATATTCGGACTTGAGGGTTCGTACATAAACTGCAGAGCGTGAACTTTTCCAGAGACAAGTGTAGTACCCATTTCCTTACCCTGTAATGATGACAGGCCTGTGGAGCCTGGTGTGGGATCGAATAAACAGCGTGCTCGTGATGACCAGCATTATTACTGATCAGTTATGATTACTACACTGCGCCACCGCCCCTTAATGTAAATTGTAGCCAAAAAAATTTTCGAAATTAAAAGAAAAACGCAATTCAAACATCTTAAAGAATGGCGATCAAACTACAATAAAGTCATAATGTAATGAACAACCTGCACAGTAATACTTCATGAGAAAAATATTTTGAAATTTACGTTACAGAAAGAAAAACACAATTTTTCGAGCGCTAAACAAAACCCACTTGAAATTGAGGTTCTTGAATGTAAAATGGACTTCGACAATACCAGTGGTTTTCACCCGGGTTCGTAGTATATCTTGCTCTGTTGGTTGATAAGTTGCTTCTCCTAATCGCTCCAGATCATCAAGGAAACTGAAAGAACAATGCAAATAATCGCATTCAAGATAACGATTATCTGATTCCATCAGCTTTTATTAAACTTCAAGAACTTTTCATAGGTTTTAGTCACAAAGAATCGTAGAGATTTAACACATCAAGGCCGACATGATTCACATAAGACTCATGTATACCTGATAACTGAACCCTCAGCGAATTTATCTCGACTTAGAGCAAATTTTATTATAATAACAATTGTTTTACTCTGTACATTTTTCGCAACAAATGAGTGAATGTCCACAAAATTTTTTCCGCGCTTTTTCTTCGTCGAGATTTGTATTTCATAAAGCAAAGCGATTTAAGAAGGGGTTTTCGTCAAGTAAGACACGGTGATGTTCCCCAATGTCTTTTATGCACTTTGGTGCTTTTGGCTGCCCCATTTGCGATAAAAATTACTGACAAGCGAAGTTCCCTGTTCGACTTCATGAAAAACTGAACTTTTGCCCATTTAAAACCATGCTGGTTTTTCAAAAATTGATTATATTTCTCAAAAAACAGTAGACACAGTAGCTGAAGATGTGAGGAAATCACAGATTTATAGAAGACCCTTTGGCTCTAGTCTACAGCCTCAAAGGTACACAGAACTTCCATGAAACGTTCTTCCAACTTGGCAATTTTTACAACGATGCACTGGAGAACATCGTTGGGTTCTGCGGGACAGATTCCTGCTTATTCATTTCCATTGGTTTTCCACTTAAAAGCACTAATGTCAAAATATGAAAAAAAAACATATGGGTTCCAGAATCAGAAAAATCTAGGAAGAAAACGGAATTCCATCCTTGAAGACTAGGCAAAATTATATTTGGTTGGCAGGTGTTCAGTAGCCAATTGATCTTCATTTCAATTAATAAAATTCATCAATAGCTGAGATTTAAAATTGGAAGAAGCAATCATTTTTGAACAGGAATGATTTATATGTGAGTCATATGGTAGTCATGCCGGTACTAATATTGTTTGTTGCAATATCAGATTAAGCTGGGGGCAAAATAATCCAAAACTTTGGAGATATTATTTCCCTCTTATTTAAAAAACGTCATAGACTCGTGATGTTGTAGCACGTTATTGAAGAATCCATAAGGTTTCCAAAAAATATAAAGAGGCAGAAACTTTTAAAGGACAACAATAAAATACACATCGAATTCGATCAATTACCTAGCGGGTGCTAGTTTACCAGTGTTGGCCAAAGATTCTGAACAGAGTGGTGAGAGCACACGATAGCTGAGCGTTCTATGACATATCAACACATTATGCACCTTACGCCGGTACGAGGTGAACAATAGCCAACTCTGTCCGAATCCATACTACCGTAATGTTTTTCGTGCTGTTGATGCTGCTGTAGAAGTGCGCTGTACTACGAACAGCTCTCGGGAGACCATTACTCAAACCGAACATCTAGGGCAGCGCACTTCACTAGGTGGCCATTGTCCTCAATCAAAGAAGAACAGTCGAGATGAGCTCAAATTTGTCATCTCAACAGTGCTAGAGCGCATATACCTTCGATAGTTCATCACAGCACGAAATGCTCGCCTAAGAAACGTGTCCACACTATACCCATAACTAGGCCCTTTTCCCGTCTTATTTCCACCTTTTCCATGCCCTCAAAATTCCTTTCGTATCAACCACATTGCAAACGATTCGAGTGAGTATTTTAGACGTTCAACGCCTTTGTGGAATTCCAAACGAGGGATACCAAGAGATGAAGACTTAAGATTAATTCGAATACCTTCCAAGGAGGAACAAATAGGGAAACACATGTAATACACAACAAACGGGCTTACGTAGCGCAGTAGTCCAACTTGCCCCGAAATACAGTGCTCGATAGCTGACTCGATGCTGTTTCCCGAAGTTCACCACGGGCGTCCTTCCTCTTGAGTAGGCAAAATGGTTCCTGACTTGTCCGGGGGGATAAAAGCACAGAAATTTTACACAGGTTGGCCATCACAAGTCATTATATAGGCTCGGTATGCATTCACGTCTACGATGATTGATGAAGTCGAATGCACAGCGCATCCTTGAGAGGTTCACCAACAAGAACTTTACCTTTCAACCACTTAATACAAAAATGTTGGAGAGGAAAACAATTTCTCAGCAGTAATGTTCCCGTACAGCGAAGATGTGGAAATGAAGTCATGATGCAACAATTTCCTTAATATATTGATTTAAAAATGATTTCTTCTTCCTAGTTTCTCAATTTTGCAAGGAGCTTCATCAGCGATTATATGTTCTATCCTTATTTTCCAAGTTTTTCCAACAGCGCGAATCACTCGACTGATTGAATCCTGTGCTCCTTTCTTTTTCGGCACTAATACATGTAAGCAACATATGGCATTCTTTCACTCTCTGGAAAACGTAAACAACAGAAAAGAACAGTTCTGAAAAAGATAAATTCGCCGAACCATTAGCCCTTGAAAACTAAAGCACGAACTAATAACCTCGTATCAGCTCACCAAAGAGAGTCCGCAAGAAAAATCTAACTTGACCATTAATGCTGATGTTAATACGGCAATTTTCCTTCAATTGCCACGAATAGTCAGTTTGTTTCCTTTAAGCCATTCTTTATCTACCGAGTAAAAGAATTGTGAAGGGATATAACTGAATGAAAAAAAGACTTACTACTTGGCAGAATCATTAAGTTGATACTCATTACTTCGGGCAAAACATTCCTGCACACCGCTGTCAGCCCAAAGCCTTTTCATTGCCAACAGCAATTCTTCACTAAACGCACAGAATTCGGTGTAGATGATAATAACAATTACAACGAAAAGAAAAACATGGAACGGTAAATTATACGGTATAAAGCATACCTGAACGGTTCAGTGTCTTCCATTCGGGCAACAACGTCCATAACAAGTTTTGCATCAACCTGAATTTCGTTTGTTATCAATAAGGATACTGTTTTCTGATACTGTTTTCTCTACGAAGAAAGCGCTTCTAAACAAGTTCAGCAGATTATCAGACGAAAGAATTTCTGTGGGAAAGCAGTCGCTCTTGCGGAAAACAGTTGTGCGACGCATTTTCGGTCTATTCGATTCATCGAGTGCACAAATGATGATCTCTGCTTCGTTTTTGAACAAAAACTGAGCGATGCAAAATTAAACTGTTGCATTGCTAATTATAACTCGACGATTAATTTTAATAAATTCTGTGGACCACATAAAAAAGCATGGTCAAATAGTCTTTTTTCAATGTAATGCTTTTCTCCAAAAGAAGAAATGTGTCTGGATTTGATCATATTTTCAGCAATCAAGTGAACCTATGCGAACTACTGTTACATCGAAAACGTAAACATAACAGCCTGCAAAAATCAATTACAAAAGATTCCGGTGCTCTGAATGTGTAATCAGGCATAGATTTGAAACACTAAAATTAGTAATGCAGTTCTAACAACTTTAATAACTTTACATCTAACATGACTTCTCAATATTTGTGCATTAAAAGCAATGCAATGGGCAAAAATCGGTCATATCCTGTTGAATTTTCTAGAACAAATTTCTCCTAATGTTCAATTACCCAAGCTTACTATCGCGGGCACCGTTATAACCGTTCTCGACACAGTATGTATTTATTGTGCAGTTTCAGCGAATCAATCCTGAGAAGCGAGCCTCTTCCGTCGGTCGAAGCGCCCGTGCAGCGTTATGGGAATGAGCAAGTCGACCTCGGAATCGATTGAGGTGTTTCTGGTTGACGGCTACCCGCAGTGCTCTGTTCCGTCTCCGTCAATCATACTGCCTAGTCCCCTCAGTTGCATCTGCTCGGCTAGCACGCACACTCTTTCCTCAACCAGTACCGCGAGTACGCTCCCATTAAAGCATTGGGCTTCAATCATGTCAGCAAAAGCCTAGTCAATCGTCTTGCATGTCAGCAATAATAATACAAGAAGGTCTTACAAACTTGAACTGTCTTACTAGTGTTTAGCTTCAACTCTAAATTCAAAAAGCTCTCTAAATTTGAAGTTTCAATTTGGAGCCGCCATAACTTGAGAGTCTTGTGAGTAGGAATTCTTGTTACTCCAAACAAGGTTTAACCGGCGTTAGTTTATTATGAGTGCAACCGAGTTCGATTCAAGACTTAGTTCTGTGAAGACACGTACCAGTTCCAATCAAATGCGGGCATAGAAAACTTTTCATGTGCACACAATCGCAATTGGATTTCTTGGAGAGAACAGCAACCGACAGGATCTCTCACGCAGTTTCTCTACGATGGAAGCCCTTGACATACGTCACGAGGGCGCTCATAGAGTGGTTGGGAATGCGGATAGTCTAGTCTGAGTACAAAAAAAATCAGACTAAAGCGAACTTTATAAAATGTTGAACCTATCGAGTGAAAGGCGATTAAGTGGAAGGGGAACATAGGAATAGTTTTGAGAACAAATTTTAAACCACAACAGCTGGAATTTCATGACCATATAAGGCCATCAACATATGATCTTGAAACCTCGAAGTGTTTTAGGGTTCAAGATAAAGAAAAATGTAATTCTTAAAAACGGTGGAAAAATACATCGAATAATATCCTATGAAGGAAAAAATCACATTGTAAAAACACTGATGACAACTAACCTCTCTGTCGGAAGAGCCGAACGGCACTGAAAGATTGGCCATCGCTCGCAGAATAGCAACCAGTGACTGTACTGTATTGCTGTACACCACGGGCTTGTACTGCTTGTAGTCTTCGGCTGTGAAACCAGATTCATGAATGATTCTAAAAGATTTGAATCACGAAATAACTCAGACTTCGTGTCCTGCAAGCAGTTACTGGTAGTAATGAAAAAAACTGATAAGGGCGAACACCTAGAAGAGTGAACTATCTATTCCAACTATAGAAGCCTGATGAACCTCCCCTATATAGCACAACACTTAAATAAACATCAAAAAAACGTCAAAGGTAAAAGTTAGTTAATACTCTAAGTTCGTGAAGGACATTATTCATAATAAAAGCAAAAGTGAAGAATAATAAAATGTCTCCTAAAATACGACAATGACTATTGATTCCCATTCGAAAAAAATGGTACCCGTTTAGAGAGTCCTAGAGTATCAGTTGAACACCACAGTTACTTCTCTTCCCATTTTATAATGTTTTGAATACGTGGCTTTTACTTACATGTTAACCTACGATCGTTTAAACCATAACGCCCCGCTACCGTATTTCGTCGTTGGACCGACCGATTGCCAGCAATTTTTCGTCGGCTGGGGAGTTTCTGGGCTTTTGACAATAAAAAATAAATTTTGAATAACCAGAGTGCTTCAGGGATTACGAACACGAAAGAATTGTACAGAAGACTTTGCTCAATCATTCTACGGGTGTAAATGATACTTATTCTTCTATTTACCGTGTTAGTGTGGCCATTATGCAAACACATTGTTGACAGCATTTTGATGTAGCTTGTACCTTATCTTGCACCCGCTTCGGTGCTTTTTATATTCACATATTCCACACGATAAGCATAGGCCATTAAACCGAAAAAATAGTTCACTGTTAGTAAAATCAGCTGCCTAATAGCTAATCTGCTCTCACCCCTTTTATTTAATCCCCTTTCCATTAGCTATCAAATGAATATCCATAGTATGATAAAAAAAACTCTGGAATCCACTAAACTCAATACGGACATTACAGTGTCCCTACGGGCGGGTTGCGTTATGGGTTAGCACATTCGTAACAAGTTGATACCTATGGCTGTCATTTGTGATGGGACTTTGTGATAGGTATGACCCCTATAGGAGTCATCACTCTCCTGACAATTCATTTTGGCACAAAGAACCTTTTCACTGTGATGCTTTAATTCTTCATTTGTTTCCCACTCTCTTTTCATAGCAAAATACCATGCTTTTTCCCGTATTCTTTTTAATCAATCGACAGTTTGTCCAATCCAAATGTTGTGGCAGGCGTTAATCTGGAAGCCCTATTCTGCACTTGGAAATATACCAAAAGAATTCCCTTTATCGAAGAAAATCACCATCAATGTGACTAATAATTAACTGCTGTTTCAATTCTGATCGCTATAATGAATCATAGATACATTATGGAATGGGCCAGAAAGAAAAATACAAAATAAAGGTTAAAAGATAAAGCTCTAGGCGTTGATCAATCCCTGAAGGATGCGCCACGCATTCGCCTTCATCAAGCATCGTTGGAGATGACTGAATGTATATACGACTTTTACAATAACACGTTGTGGCCTACAGACGTATCAACCCAGTTCTCCCAAACAAGTCTAATTCCAATCCGCCGACCCCAAAGGGATGGAGGGCTTGGTGAACCTGGGGTGCAGAAATCGATCCCATGTGTATTTCATGGCGCCTCCGTCCACTGCGCTATGCACGCCCTCTAATATAAGCCTCAGCATCTTTCAAATGCTGAAATCAGTGTGTTGGCATAATGGATGATGACAATAGCATATAGTGAGCAGTATCTACACACCATCCATACCCACTGAGTGGTAAATCAAAGTCTCCTTCATACTCCTATCATTTTGACAACCCAAGAAGTTTTCTAGTTATCGGGAAATTATCGTTCACTGTCAAAAACAAGAAGTTCGCAAGTGCCGAAAATAAGGTCCGAAAACAAGGAGCTAGAGGTCTCTTGAATGTGTTAAATAAATCAGGGGTCTTTACTTGACCGTTCTACGAGATAAAAACGGTAAGAATACATTCGCATCTTCTAAATGTTCTGATGGCATTTTCCAGTGCAGAGTATGGGTCTGGAACCCAACATCTCAAGCATTTGTAAAACAGTAATCGGCATGAGTAAGGGTCAAATAAAACAATTTCGAAAATAGGCGAATTTTCAGAAAGTTGTGCTGTTTCAGAAAGTGGCAAACAATGACTCACTTCATCTGCTTCACGATCGTGGATTTCCCAGATTCACCAGCACCCAACAACAGCAATTTGATATCCTGAAAAGAAGCCACAATTTGTTACATAATGAACATGTCGCAATAAAAATGTACAGTGCAGACCTTGGCGGCTTGCATACCGTCTTCCTTGAGATTCTTCTCTATCATTCTGGAACGCTCAAGAGCCGCCCGCTCTTCCTGTGACATGGTGCAACCCATGGTGAATGCCGGGGCAGGTGGTGATGGTGGTGGCGCTGATGGTGGTTGCTTGAGGAGTACGACGACGAAGACGACGACGACGGCGACGCTCCACTAACAGCACTCCTCTGTGTCCGATGTCGACGATCGCCAATAGCTGTAATACCCTCCACCGACCGACAGCCACACCACTCTGCACTTGAACAACACTGAAACGACTCACAGAGTACGTTGGAAAAGTTATTGTAGGTACCTCATAAGTAAAGCAGAATAACGAAGAAATACGACACATAGTGATTTGACACGCAAGGTTCAATGAAAGAACCAACGCCAAGTTTTGTTTAGAAAGGCAAGGTGGCCACGAAGTGAACCATTTCAGAGTAGGAAACAAAAGCAGAAACGGTATACTCGATTACTTGCTAATATAAAAACAATGATGTCTCAACTACATTAAGAAGAAATCAATGAAAAAACGAAGGCTATAAATCACCAGAATTGGACGTGACCTGGTGAACGGTGTTAAAAAGGGCAGAAGTCGATCTAAACCTTCTCCTTAACACTTAGATGAAAGGTATGCTTCTAAAAAAAACTATTTATTTCTAAGTGATGAAAACAATCGGGTACCGAAAAATAAACAGGAAGAAAACGAAGAAAAAGCGTTTTGTGTTTGAACAATTCTGACGGTGAGATTATCAGTAAACCAGTCCTTTTTCATTCAAAGACAGTAGGACTGCTCCGCTTCTATACATACTATTGGTGATGATAGGACGATGATAAAGGATAAACCGTCCGAAGCTGATCAATTCGTCCGGGATGTGTTACGCGTTCGCCTTCACTAAGTATCACAAAGCGGATTGAACGCATATCTTTCAGAACGGTCAGTCGATGTTCCCACATCGCGAAGGTTCGAACAAAAGACGCTGGAGTGATGCAGGAAACTCTAACAATTGCGCTACACTCTTGACATGTATTCATATGGAAATTGTCAGAACTCACAATGTTTAACTTCTATTTACTGCCTATTCATTTTTTTTTTTTGGAAATGTATTATGAGAAGTACAACTATAATGATACTGAGATATGAGGAAGACTCGGAAGCCTTCAGCTTAAACGGGTTCAATACCGATTTTCGCTCTCCAGATCACACCCGTTGATAAGTTATTGCTGATAAGCAACGTTAGCGTAACAAACTGGCTGAGAAAAAGTCGAAGCAAGGGGCTCGACAGTGCAGCCGATAGCACCTGATCTACCGGAAAGGGTAGTCGGGTATTCGAAGCACACCTGGGTTCCAAGTTTTGCTCACATCTCAGCATAACTGTGATTATCAGAGCTGTTACGACAAGGTTCAAAAACTGCCACTATTATAATATCCTAACTAAAAGAGTGATGTTTTTCACTGCCCGCTTAGCTCACTCAGCACCTATGGCATATACACAGCGATTAACCGAATTAGAGCCATCCAATGACGCTTTAGCTATTAATAAGGCTAATAAACTTCGCCAGAATTATTTTTGATCTTGCCAATTAGCCAGTGAATTAAACAGGTACCGTGGGATTTTCTACTGCCCCCTGTCGCATGCCAAATCTATCCAGTGACCTGCATTCGTTCGAATGACAGAGAGCACCACACTACCACGTGAGGCCTCTTATTTTTTTGTTTAGGGGAAGAGGAGAATACACCTTCGCAGCATTGGGTAGGACGAGTACGGAGAGGCTGCTAAAATCTCAGGGCCAATGGAAGCTGTCCGGATTTCAAAGAACTATGGTGACGATCTGTACCTACAATGCAAGTACACTTGCATGCGAGTCCTCGATAGAAGACTTGCTCATGCAAGCGAGAAGGATAAAGTACGACATCATCGGTTCGGCCGAGATGACGCCGCCTATTCAACGCCGTCTATGACACTGGAGAAGAACTGTTCCTCGGAACATGCGACAGTAGAAGAGTCGGCGGCGTCGGCGTTCTCGTCAACACGAGCTTGTCCATGAACATCGATTCATTCGAACAACTTACAACCCAAATCGGACGTTTACGATCAAGAAGACGTGGATCAATTCCGGCCTTAACAATCTTCGTCGTTTACGTGCCGACATCAAACTATGACGAAGAAGAGTCGAAGCGTTCTATATGAACTTGGAGAAGTTCTACAGAGAAGACCACACATTTTTCAAGTTCATCATTGGAGATTTCAATGAAAAGATTGGACCAAGAAGAGCGTCTGAAGAACGTTACATTGGGACCCACGGATTAAAATGGAACGAACAGGGTGAGCGGCTATCCGAGTTTAACATGGCGACGAAGACAATCCATGGTAACTCGCAATTCCAGAAACCCCACTCTCAGCGCTAGACGTGGGAGTCTCGCAATGGAGAGGAACATAACGAAATAGACCACATCATAGTAAACAGAAGGTTTTGCCTAACCGATATCGCTGTTGTCCCAAAATTGTACACGGGATCGGACCATCGTCTCCGTCGTGCAAGATTCTATTTCTCGCGGAAAGGAGAAAAAGACGCTAAATTCAAAAACGAAGTCCCAGAACCACCACAAACTGCGACTTATTCAATACATTAGTCAGCTCTTGGGAAGATGCCGTTGTCGATAACATCGACGACGAATACGATCGGCTCATTCGCCATCTTCAAGTTAGCGCTATGAAAGCTGAGAGTTCGAAAGTCACCAAGAGACGTTTGTCTCCAGAAACACTCGAACTGATACGCCAACGTGGAATCGTACGAGCTGCAGGCAACCGTGAACTAACGTCCGAATTTGCAAAACAATGCAGACAGGCGATAAAAGATCTTAGAGAGAGAGAAGAGCAGCAGTAATAGCCGAAGCTGCAGAGGCTGGGAAAAGCATTCGCAAAGCCCACCTAAGCTTCGCCAATTACAAGACCAAAATAATTGCACTCCGGCGCCCAGACGGAACAGTTACAGCGTCCAGAAAGGCAATTGAAAAAATCATTCATGAATTCGGATCTCTTCGATAGCCACGTCCACTTCCCGCCATATGAAATAAAGGAGGATGGATATGTTGTACCATCGGTTCTCCTTCCGAAATCCGACATGCTATTTTGTCGGTAAAAAATCGAACAAAACCAGGTCCGGATAGGATAACACCAGAACACCTGAAGAACCTTCCGCCAGTCCTCGCAAACACACCGGCTCGGCTCTTCACACGTTGCTTATCTGAATGCAAGGTGGAAAGACCAGTGGAAGACCAGCACCACCGTGTGTTATTGTTCAAGAACGGTGACCTGCAGGATATCGGCAACTATCGCCCAATCTGCTTACTGTCTGTCGTCTAAAAACTTTTCACTCGAGTCATCCTAAACAGGATTGACAGAATACTAAACGAGGGATAGCCATGTGAGCAAGCAGGGTTTCGAAACGGATTTGGTACGATGTACCACATCCACACGGTAACACAGCTTATTTAAGTATTGCGAGAGTACAAAAGACCACTCTGTCTCACTTCCATCGATTTACAGAAGGCCTTTGATTCAGTTGAGATAGAAAAGTCTTGGAAGCCACTGATAATCAAGGAGTCCCTACTCAGCACATAAGGATTCTTCGTGAGCTGTACAAAAATTTCACAACCAAGATACCAGCATTCTAAACATTGACGTCAAAAGCGGAGTTAGGCAAGGCGATACCATCTCGCCAAAATTATTTACCGCTACCCTCCCGAGCGTCATGCGAACATTGGAATGGGATAATATGGGAGTGAAAATCGAATGGTGGAAATCGTGTCGACAGTTACACCATATTCGCTTTGCTGATGACATCGTCCTTATAACATCAAACATTAGCCAAGCGGAACGTATGCTTGACGACTTTGATAAAGTCTGTGGAAAGATTGGTCTTCGACTAAATCTCACAAAAACGGTGTTCATGAAGAACGGATTGGTTTGCCATCTCCGAATGATCTAGTTATATCTATCTAGATCGGGAAATCAATATGATGAACGACCTAACTCCAGAGCTGAGCGGAAGAAAACGAGCGGCCTGGGGAGCTTTCAACAGCATCGAGGATGTAGTGAAGAGAACAATGAATACCCGACTCCGTGCCCACCTTTTCGACTCAACGGTACTTCTTGCCCTAATGTGTGCGTCAGAAACCTGGTCGATCCATAAGCAGTATGAAAGGTCACTCAACGTTATCGAACGCGCAGTCGAAAGGACGATGCTAGGGGTATCCCGTTCCACACAGGTAAGGGGTGGGATCCGAAGCTCCGATCTTCGTCAACGATCAAAAATCAAAGATGCCGTTCTATACGCCAAACAGTCGAAGATAAGGTGGGCCGGACACGTAATGCGTATGAATGACAACCGATGGACAAGAGCCCTTAGTGACTGAATTCCTCGGGATGTCAAACGTACTACAGGAAGAACACTGACCCGATGGTCAGAGTTCTTCACAAAGAGTCTTGAAGAAAGACATGATGCTCGACAAGTCCCTACAGCAAGCAGAATCCACTGAGCTATTTTTGCACGCAACAGAGAAAAATGGAAGATTTACTGGCGCCGACCCGAGTCACTCGACAATCAGAGGGACCATTGGTGATATAGGCGATAGAGAAAAAGAAGTGGCTATAGAAACAATGTCGACCTGTTCCCTCAGCATGAAAGCATTCAAACGAAGCTCTAGGCGATCCATAACTCACCAATGAAACAGCCAGAACAATGGAGGCAATAACGAAAATCGATATGCAGAAAGCACCTAATGGACACCTTGCTTGCCAGGAACCCGCCCTAGGCAACCGGACCTCAACCGATGGAGCTGGACCCTCACTGCTGTCGTTAAGAATCTCTGAAGCTTCGTTCAACACAGTGGTGCTCTTCAACTGCCGCCCGCTCCGACTCGAAATGAGCTAGACGTGCATTTGGTGAAAAAAAAAAGGAAAAAAGCAGAAAGCACGTCATATGACATAATACCTAACCAGGACCACATCGGCGCTTTCAGGATGAAGAACGAAATTGTATTTGTCAACGCCAACATTTAATAGAACTTGTGGAGT